AAAATTTAGCAATTTTTGTATTTGGTATTTTAGCTTAAAGTTAACAATTATATGTGATGGGGGGGGGGGAAGGGTGTACTCACCTAGTTGTGCTTGCAGGGGTTGAGTTCTGGCTCTTTGGGTTCACCTCTCAATTGGCAATTTTTTTTTTTTTTAGATGTGCACACCCCCCTCCCCCCATCTCAAGGAAGCAGTCTGTACAGCTGTAACTCCCAGGTACCTATTTACTGCTAGCTGAACAAGGGCATCAGGATGAAAGTAACTGCCCATTTGTTTCTGCCATCGCCTGTGTGTGAGACATAGACAAAAGAAAAAGACACACAGACAGACACTGTGTATATGAAATAACTTAGTACAGTAATAGGTTATTATCACTGACACAGCTGATATCTTTTTAAATGTATTTAATTACAATATTTACAAGGAAATAATTTATTAACACAGTAGAGACATTACAAATGTTTTGCTACACAGTATAAAACAGATAAACCACCGAACTTTACAAAATAATAGAACACGTAAAACAAAAAATCATGCAAGGGAAATTTTTTGGTAATTCAATTACAAGACAAGACAATTTTAATTGTGTAAATGTGAACCTCCCCAAAATTTATTTTATGAAGCTGTAATTAGACTATCCTCCATTTTTCATCTATATCTAGTTTACCCAAAAATTTTCTCAAGTTACAAGAGAAAACTTTGCAAGGAGTTTACCAGAACTTTTCTTCCATTACTGCTCAATTTACCACATAAAACGTCTTGATGAAGAATGAAACTGTCAAGGTCAATAACTACCCCAAGGCTTGCTTACCAAGAAAAAGATATCCATATTCAATAATGTTTACCAAAAAGAAGCAGTAAGTAAGTAGTAAACTATAATACTGCACTGCAACCCATTTAATAACAAAGTTTCCATATGAACATATCGCTCTGAGGACAAAATTGAGCAGTCAAGATAAGAACTGCATGACTAGGAAACATTACATAATGATGAAATTTAAAGTTCACAAAATAAGGAGTTAAAAAAAAAAAAAAAAAAAAAAAAAATTCTTGCATTTCTGCAGATGTTCTAATTACACCATGGCATATCAAAACTGCCATACACTTCTGTACAAGATCATTCCAGCCCGACACACACTGCATGACAATACCCCTGCTGCACATTCACTCATTTACACATTCTTGCCCCTGAAGCTCTTAATATTTTAATCACCACATTCATAGTCTATTCCGCCTATTCATATTCTATTCTTCAGCCTTGTACCTCCGCATCAGTAACTATCCATTCCCATTCACCATGCCCAACCATTTGGGCTAGACGGTAGAGCGACGGTCTCGCTTCATGCATGTCGGCGTTCAATCCCCAACCGATAAAGGGGTTGGGCACCATTCCTTCCTCCCGTCTTTCCTCCGTTCCATCCCAAATCCTTATCCAAACTCCTTCCAAGGGCTATATAGTCATAATGGCTTGGCACTTTTCCCTGTTAATTCCCTCCCTCCCATTCACCTCACTTACACTGGCAGATTATGCATACATCTTTACACTGTACATCACATGCAACTTTCACACTTGTAAGTAAGATGGTTCATGTGTTTACTGTGTAGACCAAAGTCGAGTGCATATAATACACATTTATCAACCAACTTCTGAGAATACATATGGTTCTATTTTTTACGACTGGCTGATAATATTTTCACCACCTTCACATCTGCGGCCACCTAATACACTAATGGAAATACAGAACATAGTTTTAAGGCAAAGACTTCACAGTGTTTATGTCCTCAAACTTATGCTATTAAAGCAAGTTAAGGGTGGCCAAAATATATTTTACTAAGACCAAACAAATGCAAGTTCTTTTAAATACATAGCCACAAGAAAATGCTGTGATTGGATATTCAACTAGTTTACCATCATGTATAATTAATGACACCAAGGAGGAAGAGCAGAGAAAGTGGTCCACCCGTAAATATTGTACATACAGTAAACGACTGATTGTTATTCCTTACCAAGAGATTCATAACCCAACAGAGGTCTACTAAGGCAATACGTGTAATAATTTATGCCTTCCAAATGTGGTCCCAATGTAAGCATATTAAATATATATATGGCAATATATTTAATTAATAGTAACATTATTATTTACTTCTATCTGACATGTACTGGGTACATGCTTTGTGCAGAGCTATTAATCAACATTTTTCTCCTCTTATCAACTCAGAATGGACTTTCAAGCTCTATATTGGTCTAAAAAAAAATTATTCTTTCCCAGAACTCATGTTTGTAAGGGAGGGCCAAAATTAATAATACGTATCACACAATACCGTATGTGCAACTCTATCAACCTGACCATAAGATCCCATTGCCTCTTCACATATTGGGAGCCAAGAGCTGATCCCAGTCTATGGCTGCTGAGAACACTTCCTGCTGTAGCCACACCTCATAGTGTTTTTTAAATTCCTCTGTCAATTCAACAGGCCGTCCCAACACACTAGTGGCACAGTTATCTAACGGTTCAAAGTCAGGATCCTGAAATAAAACGAAAGGTGCAGAATAATATTTCTGGCATGAGCTGGCTATCCATCTGCTACAACATGTCTTCCATCTATCAATCTTTGATGATTTGTCCTATGTGAAATTCCCTTTCTTTAGTGAGTAGCCTCATGAAGAAACTTTAGGATCATTTTAATAATCATACAGTATGAAATATTTTCCACAAGAAGCTGTATTACACTTTTAAGGGTTCAGTATACAAAACATTTTGATTGCTCCTTAATATATAGAGCTACTATATAGATCTTTAACAGTAACAAAAATAATGTCTTACCACTGTCGAGTTATATCGTCGAGAATTAAACCTATCAACACATGCTCTCAGTGCACATTCTTCTGCCTGGAAGTCCCATGGCCGAGCATCTGGATCATTTCCATAGGCCCAGTCATCATTTAGTCTGTGCCGCACCTGCAACATACTAAATGTTTTAGCAAACAGGTAGTGAAGCGTCAAATTCCTGAAAATATGCAGTATAAGCTCATTGGAGTAAATTTTCCCTTACTCCAAACAAATTCTAGACCATTCCAAATCCTCTTCAGCTGTTCCTGGCACATAGTACTGTACATATCTGTTTTGTTCATGAACACACTTTCACTTTCCTTTAGCAATTATACCAAACATTACAAATTTTAAAGCAAATTAAAGTGGTTTAAAAGTTTACCTTATTTATGATGAGATAGCTTAGTTAGGTTGGTGTGAATACTGTACAGTGGGTTAATATTCATCAGTCATTTATATTTTATTAGGAAGGTCAGCCAGCCAGCCAGAAATACTTTCTCTTATTTGTTATACTGAACATGAAGCAGCTTTCCCATGCTCTTTATAGCTTCTGGCATTACAAAACCTCGTATTCTATCATATTATATTTATGATAAAATATGATGGCTAGATCGATTGTGTAAAGACAATGAAAGTACTTGGTGCAATCTGCATAGTTAACACTGTTGGCAGTGGAGTTAGTCAGCTGGTGAGTCAGGCACACACACACACACAACATAGTCACATACACATAGGCAGTAAGGCAGCCACCCTCTGGCCTAGAGAGAGCCTGACCAACCAGTCAGCCATGCGTTACATTCCTCACACTGCCTGCGACCAATCTACAAGCAGCATTACTCCGAGCTCAGCCAGTGAGTGGATATACAGTACAAGGCTACAAGAGCACAGCATTAAGACCATCACTGACTGTACCACCACAGCAGCCAGGAGCAGCACTACTTATGACCTGCCTCGGAACAGTTATCTTACAAGACAGACTACAGCTATCAGCCAGCAGCCACCTACACGCTATAGTCTCATCTAATGGGAACCCAAATTAATATTTGTTAAAATGCCAAACACCCCAACAAATTCCTTTGGACTGCTCAGAGATTCGGATTACCTGAATCTGAATTCATGAGCTCTTTAAAAGTAAATTACTTTTTTTAAATGAAAATAACTTTTATGGAGTGAAATAAATTGGTAAAAAATTACAGTACTTAAAAATCATTAGAAAAGTGATAAAGAACACAGTATACAATGGGACGAATACAGTCAAGTGAACTATCACTGCACTAGAGTTGTTAACATCTTGCTACTTGAGTAGAACTTTTAACAAAATCAGTAGCTGTGTCGTGACTAATCTTTCATTCACTATGATAGTACACTACACTATACATAATGTACACATTGCAGGGTCCATACCTCAGCAAGTATTCCAACACAATTTGATACACAAACTCAAAAGACCCTTGGGGACTCACTTTCTGATAGATGGCGCTCATGGTCTTCATGTTGGTCTTGCGCCACTGTCGCCCAAGGTATTTGGTCTGCATTTTTAGCAGTTTCAGAACATACAGCTGCATCATCGCATGTTTTACCTGCATTTATTTAGTCATTAGTGAACACCTACATTATTTTAATCAACATACATCAGACATTGAGAACCTTCGGCCTGTGACAATCTGAATGTGGGCTGCATGGTGATATTTAACTCAGAATGTTATACAGTTCTTATGAAGGTATATCAAGTCATACAAAAATGTATTTCCAAAGAACTTCTTGCATCCTTACTAGTTTTATATAATGATGTTTAGAAAAAAAAAAAAAAAAAGTTTAACCTTTTCAACTCAGTGTGTTGAACAAGGTACTGTACTGAAATTGTTAAGACACCATAATTATTTTAAGGGGGAAAATATATAAATAAAAATGGGTATCGGGTATATATTAAAATTGTTTAAAAGTTTAATAACCAAAATTTTAATCAGTTCTTTTTAAATAATGTTGATCATGGATTTCAAAAGATTGGTTTTTAAAATTAATGTCCATATTTCTTATTATTCCTATTATTTTTAACCATTCCTCAAACTTCCGCGGCTCACATGTGGATCCTTCATGGCACACTAATGTGTCGCACCAGTGGTTGAAATCTCATCTGGTCAATGGGCCATAGGTTCCCCATGCTGCCACATGCTTACTGTAATTATATCAATGTACTGCCTGTGTTTGCTGCATATGCTGTACACAGTACATCAACCTATCCTCTTGCTAATTTATCCATTTTCTACACTTATTACTAAGATTACATCAATGTAGACCTGACAGAGGTACAAGACAGCAAATACAGATGTAGATTAATAATAATCAAACTGATTTGAAGACGAGGGTTTACCTTTAGTGTGCGTTTCAGTATAGGAGCAGACTTGAAAACAACAAGCATCATTATGCGGGAATGTTTCCACTTGCAAAGCTTGTTGAGAATTCTCAGGAGGTTGGTGCACGAGAACATATTCCTCCAGCAACAGATGACACTTCCCTGATTCCCACCACCACCACCACCCCCACCTTCTCCACACCCGCCACTCGGACTTCCCCCACTTCCCCCAGGACTGGTGTTTCCTCCCGCAGGGCTTCCACTCCCGGCTTCCAGAGCCTCTGCTGTCATTTCTGGAGGATCTCCAATGACACTCGCTGGGAAGTCTAATAATGGTATCCTGTGGGAAACGGAAGAAATATTTACAAGGTTAAGGTATTTTTTCAGGGAAAAGCATTAGGTAATTATGATTACATAGCTCTTAAATATTTACATATGAATGGTTAAGCAATTTAAAGCAAAATAGGTATTTAAAGAAAAATTACAGACATCTATTGTCAAAATTTATAGAATCAAGGCAAAAATATTTAAACATTTATATCCCCTGCCATTCACCCTTGCATCCCTGCAATCCTTCCCAGGATACATAATTACCAGCCTGCATACAGTCGAGCAGCATAATTACAGGCCTTAATATTATTTTTAGCAACATGTACGTATGCATGCATGCACCATCCCCCCCCCCAGCCCCCACACACACACACACACACACACACACACACACATTCAAGATGGCCACTGGCAAGGGGAAAAACAAAACAGAGCTTGATTTTGAGGGATTCAATGAAGAAAGCATTGATATTAGTAGTCTACATAACAAGTTGGTAAATTTAGATACTATAGTGAACTCTCATGTAGAAATAATTAGTAAATTGAAAGAAAGTAATGACCATTTGAATAGCAAAGTTTCATGTCTTGAGGGTTTAGTGAAAGACTTGCGCAAGGATAAGAATCAATTGGAAACAAATTGCAAAGCCATGGAAGAAGAAAATAAACTCTTAAAAATAGCTTTGGAAGAAGTTAAAGTAAATTTAAACATAAATGACTACAATAGGTTAGGCAAGGAAATTCAACAGGAGAAACAGCTTTTGTCAGCACAGATGGAGGAAGTTACACAGGGAATAGAACAGTGCAAGAAAGATATGCAACTCACTTATGCACAAGTGGCCAAGGAGAAGGAAAAAATAGAAGAAGCAGTAAAGGAAGTCAAACACTGCAGCAACCAAGATAAAACAAACATTAGGCTAGAAGGGAGGAAAGAATTGGCATCTAACCCGAAGTTGGTGCAAAACACAGTTGATCGGAGTAAGTCCCTGATCATTTTTGGCTGCAAAGAAAAGGCGATAACATCTAGGTCAGAAAGAGCTGTAGAAGAAGCTAAAGTAGTAGATAAAATTGTTGGCCTCGTGGATGGTCTTACAAACAGAGAGAATGTGTGCGACTACAGGAGAATAGGCAGGTACGTAAAAGGGAAAGATCGACCTTTGAGGATCACCCTAAACGGTGCCAAACAGATGGAAGAAGTACTAAGGAATGCTAGAAAATTGCAAAGGGATGAGGATGGGAAAGGGTGGTCGTTAAGACGAGATCTTTCAAAAGAAGATAGAGAGAAGCTGAAACTGAACCTCGCCGAGGCAAAACATTTAAATGAGAGCAGGAATGAAGAAGAAATAAATTCTTTTTTCTACAAAGTGATAGGGGTAGGCAAACCAGTAAAGTGGTACATAAAGGCAAACCAACAAAATCAATAGAGAGAGGGGGAGTGAAGAATAAGGAGAGGGGGAACAAGTTCCTGAAGATTGCATACACCAACATAGATGGAGTGAGATCGAAGATACTGGAGTTAAGTGATGTAATACAGCTGCAGACACCAGACATTGTTGCACTCACGGAGACAAAACTTGAAGATGTAATTTTAAATGAGGTCATATTCCCAAGGGGCTACTCAATTTGGAGACGGGACAGAAAAATTAGGAAAGGCGGTGGCGTTGCTGTGCTGGTAAAAGAACACCTAAAGGTGAAGGAAATAATGACTGCCAATCCACAAGAAGTTGACATAATAGCACTAGAGATCTGCTATGAGGATGATAAACTAATGATGATAAATGCATATAGTCCACCGCCAAGCAGCACATGGTCAAAGGAGGAGCTAGATAGTAAACGTGAAGGTCTTATAACAATAATGAGAGAGATTATAGCGAGAGCGGATAACGATAGATCACGACTGTTGATAGTCGGTGACTTCAACTTGAAATCCATAGACTGGGAAGCATATGAAGCTAAAACAGAAGATTTTTGGACCTGTAAATTTGTAGACCTCATCCTGGAAACATTCTTGTATCAACATGTTAAACAAGCTACGAGGATGAGGGAAGGGGACGTTCCCTCCATGCTAGATTTGATATTTACCAGGAAGGAGGAAGAGATATTTGACATTCAGTACCTTCCTCCCTTGGGTAAAAGTGACCATGTCTTTTTGGGAATAAAGTATGCAATGCGTTATAAGCTGGAAGAAAATAAGGAGGTTGAAGCAGTGGAAAAACCAGACTTCAGGAGAGGACATTATGGTGACCTTAGAAATTTTTTTAGTGAGTATAATTGGACAGACTTGATGCTAGGCAAGGAAGTGAATGAGATGTATGGCAAGTTTTGTGAAATATATGATAAAGGCACAAAAAAATTTATACCAAAACAGAGATGCAGAACTAGGAAACAGGATTGGTTCAATAGAAATTGCGAGAGGGCTAGAGACCGAAAGACACAAAAATGGAATCAATACAGGAAGAGGCCGAACCCCCAAACATACCAGCGATACAAAGATGCGAGAAACAACTACACGGCAGTGAGGAGAGAGGCAGAAAGAAATTTTGAAAAAGGGATTGCGGACAAATGTAAAACAGAACCAGGTCTATTCTATAAATTCATAAACAACAAATTGCAGGTAAAGGATAATATTCAGAGGTTGAAAATGGGAAATAGATTCACGGAAGATGAAAAGGAAATGTGTGAAACACTAAACGAAAAGTTCCAAAGTGTGTTTGTACAAAATGAAATCTTTAGGGAACCAGATACAATAAGAATTCCAGAGAAGAACATAGAACACATAGAGGTGTCTAGAGACGAAGTGGAAAAAATGCTCAAGGAGCTCGGTAAGAACAAAGCAGCTGGCCCAGATGGCGTTTCACCATGGGTTCTGAGAGAATGTGCATCTGAGCTCAGCATTCCACTTCACCTGATCTTTCAGGCATCCCTGTGTACAGGAATCGTAGCAGACGGGTGGAAACAGGCTAACATAGTTCCAATCTACAAAAGTGGCAGCAGGGAAGACCCCCTCAATTATAGACCTGTATCATTGACAAGTGTAATAGTGAAAGTATTGGAAAAACTAATCAAAACTAAATGGGTAGAACACCTAGAGAGAAATGATATAATATCAGACAGACAGTATGGTTTTCGATCTGGAAGATCCTGTGTATCGAATTTACTCAGTTTCTATGATCGAGCCACAGAGATATTACAGGAAAGAGATGGTTGGGTTGACTGCATCTATCTGGACCTAAAAAAGGCTTTCGACAGAGTTCCACATAAGAGGTTGTTCTGGAAACTGGAAAATATTGGAGGGGTGACAGGTAAGCTTCTATCATGGATGAAAAATTTTCTGACTGATAGAAAAATGAGGGCAGTAATCAGAGGCAATGTATCAGAATGGAGAAATGTCACAAGTGGAGTACCACAGGGCTCAGTTCTTGCACCAGTGATGTTTATTGTGTACATAAATGATCTACCAGTTGGTATACAGAATTATATGAACATGTTTGCTGATGATGCTAAGATAATAGGAAGGATAAGAAATTTAGATGACTGTCATGCCCTTCAAGAAGACCTGGACAAAATAAGTGTATGGAGCACCACTTGGCAAATGGAATTTAATGTTAATAAATGTCATGTTATGGAATGTGGAATAGGAGAACATAGACCCCACACAACCTATATATTATGTGAGAAATCTTTAAAGAATTCTGATAAAGAAAGAGATCTAGGAGTGGTTCTAGATAGAAAACTATCACCTGAGGACCACATAAAGAATATTGTGCAAGGAACCTATGCTATGCTTTCTAACTTCAGAATTGCATTTAAATACATGGATGGCGATATACTAAAGAAATTGTTCATGACTTTTGTTAGGCCAAAGCTAGAATATGCAGCTGTTGTGTGGTGCCCATATCTTAAGAAGCACATCAACAAACTGGAAAAGGTGCAAAGACATGCTACTAAGTGGCTCCCAGAACTGAAGGGCAAGAGCTACGAGGAGAGGTTAGAAGCATTAAATATGCCAAAACTAGAAGACAGAAGAAAAAGAGGTGATATGATCACTACATACAAAATAGTTACAGGAATTGATAAAATCGACAGGGAAGACTTCCTGAGACCTGGAATTTCAAGAACAAGAGGTCATAGATTTAAACTAGCTAAACACAGATGCCGAAGAAATATAAGAAAATTCACCTTCGCAAATAGAGTGGTAGACGGTTGGAACAAGTTAAGTGAGAAGGTGGTGGAGGCCAAGACCGTCAGTAGTTTCAAAGCGTTATATGACAAAGAGTGCTGGGAAGACGGGACACCACGAGCGTAGCTCTCATCCTGTAACTACACTTAGGTAATTACACACACACACACACACACACACACAGGGCCACATGCTTTCTGGATGCCACTTATCCAGATATGCTTCTTTCTTATTTTAGGTTTGTCCGAATAATAAAGTTTGATAAACTGGTGTGTGGTGAGTTGAGGTGAGTGGTCTGAATTAAAATGTGTATAGAGGGGTTTAAGCATCATAAGTACATCCAGTGGCAATCTCCAAGTACTGCAAATAATAAATATGACTTAACATTTACTGTAAAGAACTTACGTGTTTTTGGCCTGAACATAAGCCATGATGTTTTGGTTAAAGAATTTTAATATGAGTGGAATACAATTGGCGAAGACCAGATGCTGAGACATGAATTCAAACTGATATATATGATTGATGCGAAAATGTTTGAGCAGCAGCAGGAGTGTTGCCGAGACAGCCTTCACTAGCACCTCCTTGTGACGATTGACGTCTACACCAAGCTTCATACTCTGCACCACCGTCATACTGTAAACAAACATGATGTGTAAGAAAATATGTAACAAAATATAATGACTGATATACATACCATCCCCCACTTTAAAAATAGTTGAGAGGAATATAACTGATGAAGGATAACAAAAAGTTATAATTACAGTATCTAAAGAGCTCAAATGAGTAATAAACTGAATAAGCAAGCTTCACACCTTATCATTCTCATCAGTAAGGTGGCGATTGTAGAGTTCACTCTGCCTCACAACTCGCTCTACAACAGAACGTATACATAGAATACTGGATATACCGGTATGTATGTATTCAGAACAAAAGTACTCACGGCATTTCCTCTGGAAGTACATCAGCCATTATGTTTATGGAGTCAGTCTTGGCCTTGGAGGTTGGTGCGGCAGCCAGAAGGATCTTCAGCAGTGCTATCATACACTGTGGTAGTGTTGGCAACATTGCCTGAGAACAAAATAAGAGATTATAGCAACTTTCTTTCTCAATGGATATTTTTCATACAAATGGAAATCAAGAGTCAAGAGGCCACATGCATGGTAAACGCTTCAATTGTGACCAAAACAATATCTTGATAAAAGCTTAAGGTGCTGCTTCTAGATCTAGCACCACACACAGCAAAGTAGTATTGTTTGGTAGATTTGGTTTCCATTCTCAGGGATAGGAAGTTTGTTAGACTATTAAGGTCATCCTAAGCCAACTATAAATTTTCAAAAGGCTGCAACTCTCAACAGTTACCTAACTCCCAAGTACCTATTTACTCCTAGGTGAACAGCAGCAATAGGCGAAAGGGAACCCGTCCTAAAGTTTACATTCTGCCGCAAGAATCGAATCCGTGACTTTTCGACTCTGACCTGGTTGCATTGATCACTTGAGTACACAACACAATTTTGATATGCAATTTATATAATCATACCATACAAGCAGTATTCGGTCTTCATTAGTACTTTAGCATCCTGATGCAAAAATGCATCGTCCAGCTCAAAATTCCAGAAAATTATTTGTTTATTTTTTGAGAATAGTTTATCAGGGGACCAACTAAAGTATCACTAGACTATCCAGAGATCTTGGTAGTTGTAGGTCAATGATACAAAAGGCCTTTTAATTTACGTGTTGGAGAATTTTTAAAGTAAGGATGGGAGTGTGGGTTAAGGAGAGCTTTGAGTGAGAAGGTAAGGACATTGGGTTTCGAGAGCATGGTGGGGCATGGGGGTTATGAGTGAAATGAGGGGGGTGTTAGAGTAATGAAGGGTAATGGGAGGGTTCAGGGGGGCTATTAAGGGGCATGTAGTGTGGTTATGATTTGACAGGCTCACTGGTGATAAACTTATGAATAAATTCCTGCCCATAACTAAATTTTCAAACCACCAAATTATATAAAAATATTTGCTTTGGGCAAGCAAGCTAAAATTTATCACCATATTTAGGAGTTGCTTGCTTCAAGACAATATAATGAGGCTGCAAGATAATACATTACAAAAAAAAAAAAAAAAAGTTGCCAAAGGGGTTCACTGCTCAATTCCAACAGCCACCACACTTTTATTTTTATTTTTAGTCTCTGCCATTATGAGGTGTACTGGAGATGTACACAAACTTGCAGGAATAAAAATAAAAACCATAAATCAAAGAATTCCTATTATGCAAGAAAATATTCAAAATCTTTATTATCATTCCTACTGTATCCTCCCTACTTCTCAGGCACTACCTTATCTGAGGATGTTAGATAAAGTAGTTCAACAATAATCAACGATGTAGTCAAAGCAACACTATCTTACCTGGTAGAGGATCTCGGAGGGTGTCTGAGGAACGTCCGATTCTGGGTTTGATAATGGGTTTCTCGTCATTTCTTCCTCTTGACGTATTTGTATTTCTGATAGCGATATATACACATGCTGTTGAAATTACATTTTGTGAAAAACAAATAGTAGGTTACACGATTGAAGCATTGTATAAATGTATGAAAGGGTATAGCAAAGAGCATATTAATAAGGTGTTAAATAAATCAACAAACTAGAACAAAACAATTAATATAAATTAGATAAGTTCAGATTCAGAAAATACCCAGAGTAAATTTTGGTTTGGGAGTAGGTGTGTTAATGTATGGAACACGTTAACAGATCATATATTACAGATGGGATTACTGGATAGTTTTAAGTGAAGGTTAATCATGTATACGAGGGAATTTAAAAGGAACTGTCAATAGGCCTACTGTGGTATCTTTACTCCTTATGTTCTTACTTGTATATGTCAATCATATCGCTGCTCATATTATAATTGTATGCATTATCAAGAGAATGTGATTTCAATGTTCCAAACCAATCTTCTTGAAGATTTGAATTGTTAGAAATTAACAATCTATGCTGTTTTTAAAAGAGAACCTGTTCATTTTGTAATACGATGACCAAAACTGCAAAGTACAATCCCCAGCACAAATTCCTCATTAGTACATTACAAACCTAAAGTAGTGAAACTGATCAACCACTTTTCCCCATACAGTATTTCACCCTGTGTAACATTACCATTACTTCACTATGATCAACATTCACTTTCAGCAGTCATGTCTTATAAATTAAACAAGACTACTAATCAGCAGGTACATACAGTATATATAAATTTCTTTACATTAGAAATGCATAATTTGCATTACTAAATTGTATTCTTCATTTATTTCTATTTTGTGAATGGTGAATAGTGAATACTATCATTTACTTCATAGTATTATAATACTATGTATGTGTATATGATGCACATGACACCACTGTCATACACTATATGACAGCAGTGTATGATTACCTTCCCTAATGACAATTCATTTGTACATTAAACTACCATGGAGACACTACACAAGCCTATACAACAACACAGCTGGGAGACACCATACAACAACAACACACAGCTGGGAGACATTAAACTTTCTTTTAAAAAAACATTTTAGAAAACTTACTTTGCCGAGAACTTTTACACCTTCATGGATTGGTAACGGGAGGCCAGCCAATGATGTCCTGTCACCTTGTAACTGAAATCCCACAAATTTTATACGAGTTGAATCTAAGAACGAATCTATGTCTTTTTGTCGAACTTTTGGAGTCCATGGTAGACCTGTTGAAGCAAAAGTTCAATATCAAAAGCCCTAGATAATAAAAACAAGAATACAGTATTAAAGAAATGATAGATGGGGATCAATAGCAAATCTTACTTTTGTATCAAAGGTCTATGCAACAAGGTTTACGATGTACTACCCTACTCGGAATGCAATGCATGGACAAGATAAGACATTGAGCACAATAATTACTGTATTTACAACAGCAGAATAACACTGGGGTTGGCTATTCTCACATTTGTGATTCTTCTGTAACTTGTACAACAGACTCACCTTGAGGCTGTTGTGCAAGTGGCCCCAAGATCACAACAATCCTCCCTTCAAATCTACCCAACTGACTTTTATACTTCTTTGTTCAACAGTAAATGTTTCATTTGCTTTTTGAAGGAAACCTCAAACATATTTCACATGTTCTGTAGCTAGGTAAAAATATCCAAATATTTTACACACAAAATTTTAAGTCGGTTATGAGTAATTTGTTAGCAATATTTTAACACTCCTTCGAAACATTTGCACTTGAGAACAGTTGAAGTATCTAGTCAAGATTCTACAAGAGGTGACCTACACAAGAGGGTGTTCCCATAGTGAGCAATGCATCAGAAGTTGTACTGTACATAAACACAACTGTGTGAAACGTAACTGAACTGCTCTATTCTCAAGAAAAATAATCACTCGCTAAATTATTTTGGGTAGTAACAATTATACGTTATCATTATGGTAGTTAATTAATTTGCCTTGGTAACCTAAAAATGCAATACTATGACCAAAATAATGCCTGGGTAGTTTAACATTCATTATACTACTTCCACATTCTCCTTCCAGTTATTAGTTAGCCATTCTTAACCTGTTTTCCATGTTTATGGCCTTCTGATTTTGCTACTGCATTTCTTTACCTTTCATGTGCATGTGAAGATAATCCTAAACTATGCAGTCACTTCTCAATACAAGAAAATAAAATGTTTTCCATTTATCCCATAACCAAAAAAATGTATAAAGTCACAGCTTTCACAAAATTACTGAGTAACAGTTAGTGAACCCAACCTTTATTTGTAATATTATTGGGTACGGGCGTTCCTGGCCGTGGAGAAGGAGGTTGCGGTAGATCAGGAGGCTCATCCATATCATTTGTGGGCTGCTCGTCATCATCAGCAGCAGCAGCTAGGTCTAGCTCACCCACACTGTCATCAAGACTGCTCTGCTTCATAAGACCTTGCTGTGAACATAAAACCCCTTATCAGCATCTGACGTTACCACATGTACCACCAACTATCTCATGTGAAAGATTTAATTCAACTACTTTCAATAAATTTTATTACACCAATAGTAAACATGCTGACAAATACACAAACTATAATTGCAATCCAACCCAATATTTGAACATTTTGCTGTCCTCACCTTATATCTAATAATCACAAATCAGTGACATCTATAAGCATTTGTTTGAGTAAATAATTACTTGGCAGATAATGAGCCAGAAATGACACCACTCCAAGAATATTCAGTACCACCTACAACTGTGAACTCAAAATCTTTAAACTGCAAAGTAACATTACTTCTGCCAACCATATTTGTGCCTTATGATAAAATACAAATCTAATGATAGTTTGGGAACTGGAATGTGACACTGCCATGCCCTGATCTCCCAAGGTACAACAGGCATGATCAGCGAGAGACTTATTTATACAGTACAGTATCTTAAACATTGGCCAAAAAATGAAGATAAGCTTGGGAGACATCTCTCCTCACTACAACTTTGTGGAAAACAATTGCTACATTGGCAAAGACAAGGATGAAGCAGGCACTTTGTACTTCAACATCAATGCAGTCAAAGGTTCATTCAAAGAGGAGGCTGGATTTAAATCTCACAAGGTCTTTGCCAAAGCCTGGGTAAATGATGATTAAACCAGAACCATCTATAGAGGTCTGTCACCTGGAAAGCATTGAAGAAGCCTAGATCTGGAGCTTTTCTTCTTTGTGGTGTAAAAAAGGCATAGCAGATAATTCCAACCTAGTGAGACAAGAAGGCACAGCTCCAAGCACCCACCCGTCTGAATGGTCGTCTTTTCTGGTTATTCTGTTGTTCTATGAGATCAGCTGCAGAAGCTGGGGGTGAAGATGCTCTCATGGTGCGGGCTATGGTCAGGGTGTCCTCCTCACACGCCTGCAGGCCATTTCTCTCACGATATGAATCTGAAGAGAAGAAAATTAGACTACACTTTGTTTATACACCTATATAATACCCACCTCATACTTGTCCAGGATTATAACAGCTTAAGTTAGAGTGAGTGTAGAGAACTCTCACTGAACATGAATTTCTCTAACACACATTCACTCTTTGTTGGTTGACTAAGACGACCACTGACAGCATTTACCCAACAGCAGGATGCTTTTTAACATGTGAATAGCCAAAGGACTTCAATATTTATATGTGGCATGAAGCAGCCATTGCTGGCGAGTTAGCTGCCACTACGGACTATTCTCATCCCTGCCAAACATATCACCTGGTACATATGCAAAATCATAAAATGGCACTGATCCTAATGAAAAAAAGCAAGAGTTGGCTGCTTCTCCCTCAACTGTAAATGTGTCGTGCTCATCAAACTCAAACAAACCAATTTATTGAAAGAAAAAAAGCAATTTAACATTAACATTTAATACACTCCAGTTTTTATCTATAAACACAGTACACAATGCCATGCAAATCAAGGGATACCTGTACACTTTAACACATTAACTATACAATAGAGATGTGCTCATTTCAAATACTAAAGGAAATCAATACTTTACATTTGCATCGGAATGCATCATCCTTTATATATAGGCAATGCTCCACTTTCAATCAATACTTGGTAACCAAAAACAAGCTCCAGCAGGAGACACTCACTTTTCATTACAGCCAATTGTTGAGTCCCCCCCAGTGATGACAAAAGCACCTTCCACAACATGAGCAAGACTTTTCTAATGGGGAAGTGAGGCGCAGAAGAATTACAGAACCTCGTCACCATCCCAAGCAGTGTCATGGCTACCAGCTCCTCATCCTCTCCCTGAGGTTGGCCAAGCTCCTCACAGAAATATAACCTGCAGAGGCATATCAGATACTGTTAGTCATCACTGAACACTGTCCTAATTATAATTCCCTTGAAAACTTTCAGGGTTGTGTAATAATTACTAGTTATTAGATGCATTGACAAAATATGCCCTATAGTATCAAAGAGTTATAAGGCAAGGTTATGGTAATAAAACTTAAAATATTCAGAAAATCTTCACAACCCAAAGCAAGACAATGGGACTTGCCTGGTTTGAGTTTGAGCTTCAGTGTCATCATCACTTGGCACTCTCAGGGTTTCAACAATGGTGTAGAGGACTGAAAGAATTACTCTCAGGTCAGCCGAGTCTGCCAAGCTGGCAGACACTGCAAGTTTGCGCTGATTTTCATTGCCACCTGTACTTCTAAAATGTAAATAAAATTGGCTACTAAACATTCAACATTATACATCTTTCTAAAATCTGATAAAAACAAATATAAAACAACTGCAGTTAAAATAAATTACTCTGTTATTAATGTGATAATGTAGTAAATAATGAAATGATCATGGAGGAGTAATGTTTATAGCGTTGACATATGTTATGACTGGATACCATTATAAATTCTGAACTTTTCTGCCTTCATAAAACACCTAGCTCATGATGACCAAACCAAAACTCAGAAGATGGAGAAGTGATGACGTTTTGGTCCATCCTGGACCATTATCCAGACTTGATAATGAAACACAAACCACAAACATTCTGAGTTGTGGTTCGGTCATATTTCTTCAGCCATGTTACCGACTCATCATCTGCACACCTAGCTCAATTTCAAAACATGGTTTCTTAACCATTTAAGAAACTTGTAAAAATAAGCTCAGGAACTTATACACCAGTTGATTGACAATTGAGAGGAGGAACCAAAGAGCCAAAGCTCAACCTCCGTAAGCATAACTAAGCGAGTATTTAAAAATTCCAAGGAACAGTTGCTTAAGACTATGTTAATTACTCATATGAAAAGACAGTGTTAGTAAGGGGCACTAAAAGGAATTGGGAATACTGTACCTGTACTGTATACCTGTCGATGATTCCAAAGTCAAAGTCCTCGTGGAATCATAGACAGGTATACAGGTACAATATACCCAATTCCCTTTAAAGCACCTTACTAACACCATCTTTTTGCATGTTCAACAACTATGGCCTACATATTTTCATACATCATTCCCCCTACAAAAAAAAAATATAATAATAGGAGCAATATTGGTAAAATTAAAAGCTAGATTTTGAGTAGGATTCAAAGTAAGATGGCTGTCTCAGAGAAACAAAAATTCTCAATGTCCAACTTTGCCACATAGCTTACGATAGTGAAAAGAAAGCCAACAATGTAAATTTCATTGAATGAAGGTATCTAAATGAATGATGGTAAATGATCTTACTCAATCTCAAGATGAAGGAGCTGCAAAAAAGATGCCCACACTCCACACTGCACTAGAAGGAAGACATTGCGCCGCGCCCACATATTTTGCTCACGATCGCTCTGCACCTCTCCCCAACATCCCTGCACAAAAAGTCATGATTACAGTACTTCACAAAAAATTTAAGGCGTGCAATAAACATTATGTACAGTGGAACCTTTATACAGTATTCATCTGATTCAATACTCATCATGTTTTGATAAATGTTGTGCTTGCATATTTGCCAGCATTTTCCACATTCTTCACAATCACTTCCTGACATTAGAAATGCTGTCCAATTGGGCCAAAATGTAGAGTATGGTCAAAAAGTGGCACCCAAACAGTGCCATAGTTAATAAAAACTACAGTAATGCATTCAATGATAATATGACTGGCTACTTCAGGAAAGTTTAAAAAGCAGAAACAGACAACACTGAACACGTTCTTTGCTAAATCGAGCGTTAGTGAATTGTCGGCAAAGGAAATAAAATGACGATCACCAGCATTGAAGTTACCTGCCGTTTTAACGGAAGGTGACTCCTCTTCTCAACAATAATTCCTTTCCTCCTCTTCTGCTTCTATCATCTCTCCTCAGTACAGTAAAGGTATGTTATGGTTAAATTTTTATTTATGTATTATTTTTTGGGAGGCTGGGAATGGATTAATGGAATTTCAGTTATTTCTAATGGGAAAAACTGGTTCCACATTTGTCAGTTTCCATATTTGCCAGGCCCTCAGGAACAGATTAATGACTAATATAGAGGTTCCACTGCAGTCTATTCATATTGTCTGAATTATTAAACTTGAAAATACTGTACTAAAATGATTACTACTAGTTATAATAATTAAAAAGGAATTTTTGGCAATAGATGAAGACAGTCTTAACAAGTAAAAAATATACCTGTATATTTGAGAGAGAGAGAGATATATACAAGAGTTCTTACATTCTTGTACAGCCACTAGTACGCGTAGCGTTTCGGGCAGGTCCCTGGAATACGATTCCCTGCCGCGAAGAATCGTTTTTTCATCCAAGTACACATTTTACTGTTGCATTAAACAGAGGCTACAGTTAAGGATTTGCGTCCAGTAAATCCTCCCCGGCCAGGATACGAACCCATGACATAGCGCACGCGGAACGCCAGGCGAGTGTCTTGCCACTACACCACGGAGACTGATAAACCGATAAAACTCTTTGCCTTTAAATCATGCTCAATGTGTAAAGGTAAACTCTATAGGCACTGCAGGGCTCTGTACAGTTATGTTTTATAGGAAGTGTTCAACAAAGGGCCACATGAAATCAAAATTTGAAATGTGTTCATTTCTAAAGTTATTACTTGCATGTAATTTTAAAAAGCAAGGTGGTCAAAAAGGAAGGTACTATGTTCATCCACTTGAACCATTTGTCTGGGCTTTGTGATCTACAGCATCATTTGGTCGTGTGACATGTTTTGGGACCACCCTGCTTTAATTTATCTGTACAGTATATTTTCACATGAAATTGAGAAAAATTTTAATATCTTATGTTTAAACACGTGCATGTTCTACATATTTCACAAAACAAATAGTAAGTTAACTACCTGAGCAATATACAAGATGGCCCGAGCAGCTCTCATACGCAGCGAACGGTTGCACAGCTCCAGATGGTCAGCCAGACGAACAACAAGTGTTCTGTGGCTAATATCCGAGGCCGACTGCCACAGTGGCACAACACCAAGTTCCCCGCATACCTCCTCCCATGCCTAGAAAAAACAAGTACAGTTCTGTAAGGAATATGATATCAGTTTCTAAAGTTAGAAAAATATAGTACACACACAAATTTTAACATTCCTTAGTGCCACAACAAAATTCTCCAAGGTAAAACAGTTGACAATTATTCTCTTTGATATTAAATATTTACATGTGTGGCAACCCACTCATAAAACAAATGCATCTAAATGAACTTTAAAAAATTAAATATACTGTACTGTACATATATAGTAAAATAATGAAATTGATGTGAGAAAGGCTAAACATTATTACAATTTGATAGAAATCAGAACAGTGAAAAACCAAAGCTTAATATTTAAACCCAAAATATAAACACTATTCATTGAGCACCATTTGTAGCGTCAAAGCGTTATATGACAGAGTGCTGGGTAGACGGACCACCACGAGCATAGCTCATCCTGTAACTACACTTAGGTAATTACCAACAGTATGTACAGCAGCACAAGCCAAATAACATCCAAATCTGGTAAACTAAAGATTACAACCACATTATGATGACCTCACCTTGAGGTTGAGTTGGAACTCTGGGCCTTCTGTATATGAATAAAGCTCTGCTATCTCATTCTCTGGCAAGTCGGCATCGTCGTAGTTGAACTCAATGTCTGGGCAGTCGGTCATGCTGGCCTACATAGGGATGAAGAAGATTAGCCAGTTACAGACTGCTCATGTAATCCATAAACTCTGATCTGTGTAAGTTTACATTTCTGTCATCCTCTCTACATATAATGTTTTGTAATCCAAGACAGTGGAATTTTGCTTCTTCGGACTAAGTGCAGTTGGACCCTATTTGGATAATTACAAATTTCAGACAACACACAGAAATCACAATAGTGTGATGCATCAAATGAACAAATCCACAAGGGCCGTGACGAGGGTTCGAACCTATGTCCGAGAGGATCCCAGACGCTGCCTTAATCGACTGAGCTACGACATGGTAAAAGAATTGCAACCAGAAGTTCTACTGCCCATACTTGGATCCTGCAGCCTCTCCGAGACACAACCAGGATTTTACTCAATTCCCCCATGCACTTGAGCTCTATCAATAAGCTGTTCTACCTTTTTGCCCTTACTCAAGTATAATGAAGTGCCGTCCCTCCCACAGTGTGGGGTACAGTGCCACCCCCCCCACAGTGTGGGGTACAGTGCCATCCCCCCCACAGTGTGGGGTACAGTGCCATCCCCCCCACAGTGTGGGGTACAGTGCCATCCCCCCACAGTGTGGGGTACAGTGCCATCCCCCCCACAGTGTGGGGTACAGTGCCATCCCCCCCACAGTGTGGGGTACAGTGCCATCCCCCCACAGTGTGGGGTACAGTGCCATCCCCCCACAGTGTGGGGTGCAGTGCCATCCCCCCACAGTGTGGGGTACAGTGCCATCCCCCCCACAGTGTGGGGTGCAGTGCCATCCCCCCACAGTGTGGGGTGCAGTGCCATCCCCCCACAGTGTGGGGTGCAGTGCCATCCCCCCCAGTGTGGGGTGCAGTGCCATCCCCCCCACAGTGTGGGGTACAGTGCCATCCCCCCACAGTGTGGGGTACAGTGCCATCCCCCCACAGTGTGGGGTACAGTGCCATCCCCCCACAGTGTGGGGTACAGTGCCATCCCCCCCACAGTGTGGGGTACAGTGCCATCCCCCCACAGTGTGGGGTACAGTGCCATCCCCCCCACAGTGTGGGGTACAGTGCCATCCCCCCCACAGTGTGGGGTACAGTGCCATCCCCCCACAGTGTGGGGTACAGTGCCATCCCCCCCACAGTGTGGGGTACATTGCCATCCCCCCCACAGTGTGGGGTACAGTGCCATCCCCCCACAGTGTGGGGTACAGTGCCATCCCCCCACAGTGTGGGGTACAGTGCCATCCCCCCACAGTGTGGGGTACAGTGCCATCCCCCCACAGTGTGGGGTACAGTGCCATCCCCCCCACAGTGTGGGGTACAGTGCCATCCCCCCCACAGTGTGGGGTACAGTGCCATCCCCCCCACAGTGTGGGGTACAGTGCCATCCCCCCCACAGTGTGGGGTACAGTGCCATCCCCCCCACAGTGTGGGGTACAGTGCCATCCCCCCCACAGTGTGGGGTACAGTGCCATCCCCCCCACAGTGTGGGGTACAGTGCCATCCCCCCACAGTGTGGGGTACAGTGCCATCCCCCCCACAGTGTGGGGTACAGTGCCATCCCCCCCACAGTGTGGGGTACAGTGCCATCCCCCCCACAGTGTGGGGTACAGTGCCATCCCCCCCACAGTGTGGGGTACAGTGCCATCCCCCCCACAGTGTGGGGTACAGTGCCATCCCCCCACAGTGTGGGGTACAGTGCCATCCCCCCCACAGTGTGGGGTACAGTGCCATCCCCCCCACAGTGTGGGGTACAGTGCCATCCCCCCCACAGTGTGGGTACAGTGCCATCCCCCCCACAGTGTGGGTACAGTGCCATCCCCCCACAGTGTGGGTACAGTGCCATCCCCCCACAGTGTGGGTACAGTGCCATCCCCCACAGTGTGGGTACAGTGCCATCCACCACAGTGTGGGTACAGTGCCATCCCCCACAGTGTGGGTACAGTGCCATCCCCCACAGTGTGGGTACAGTGCCATCCCCCCCAGTGTGGGTACAGTGCCATCCCCCCACAGTGTGGATACAGTGCCATCCCCCCACAGTGTGGGTACAGTGCCATCCCCCCACAGTGTGGGTACAGTGCCATCCCCCAGTGTGGGTACAGTGCCATCCCCCACAGTGTGGGTACAGTGCCATCCCTGTGTGGGTACAGGGTACAGTGCCATCCCCCAGTGGGTACAGGATACAGTGCCATCCCCCACAGTGTGGGTATGGGGATAGAATAAACTAACATTAGAAACAAGTCTGGCCCCGCCACCCATGAAGGCCACAAACCACGTCTCCGCTGCTTATCATCCGTAAAAACTACACATCCTCATAATACATAGACTAAATGCTGTACCAGATACAGTTACAAAGTGAACAATATGATCAAACGAGAGATTAGCCTGCGCCGAGCTCCAGGGCCCCGCCTCGCCCACAACTGATCAATATCCAGCTCCCTACTCCCCTCACACCACATTTCCCCGCCACCCGCCATTATGTGTCACTAGAGCAGAGCCATGGGCGGCCAGAGAGCGCCGGGGCTCACTTCAGAGTCGTGTCGCTGGCGGGTAAAGATCTCTCTCAGCTTGGGCAGACTCCTCTTGTCGTCGCCATTATCCTCCATAGTGTTGTGGTGGGCCCCCGGGCGGCCCACTATCCCCTGGCGCGGTGTACGGCTACCTGGCACCCGGCTCCCCGCCGCTCACACCCAATAGATGGCGACACAATCATCCATCAACCTCAACCAATATTCTTCCTTTTTTCTTAAATTTTGCCCCCCCCCCCCCGAGGGGCGAGTTTATTGGGCAGCGCCACTCATGATGTTACTGCTAAATAACCTGTCACTAGCTTATTAAAACTGTAAATGGAGGGACCTTTGATAAGCCGCCGGCTTCCTGTCCTCCTCGAGGCCACTAGTATCAGTGGTCCTCGGGTAAATTCAGGTAAAAAGATTGTAACTTATTAGCTAAATTCAGATTCAGATTCAGATTCAGATTCAGATGTTTATTCAGGTAAGTTTATTCAGCTCTATTCCTACCTCGTAAAATTCGACATACTCAGCCCCTGCCAGTTTGGCTTCCGGTCCCAAAAGAGTACCAATGATGCAATCATTAGTCTCCTTGACATTATCTACTCAGCCCTTGACAAAAATGAGTTTCCGATTGGACTCTTCATTGACCTAAGAAAAGCCTTTGATACTGTTAATCACAACTACCTCTTATTTAAACTCCAGCATTATGGAATCCGAGGCCTTGCCCTTGACTACATCCGATCCTATCTTAGTGACAGACACCAATATGTAACCATCAATGATACAACTTCTTCCACTCTACCAATTACCGTTGGAGTGCCACAGGGCAGCATCTTAGGACCTCTTCTATTTCTTATATATATAAACGATCTGCCTAATGTCTCTAATATTCTCAAACCTATATTGTTTGCTGACGATACTACCCTTATCTACTCAAACCTCAACCCACATACACTAAATAATGTTGTGAATAATGAATTAAAAAAAGTCCACTTATGGATGTCAACGAACAAACTAACATTAAACATCGAAAAGACTTACTACATCTTATTTGGAAGCAAATCATCAAATGCAATTCAGCTACAGATAGACAACATTAACATCAGTAATAAAAATGATGGCAAGTTTCTTGGCCTATTCCTAGACAAGAGACTCAACTTCAGCACCCACATTCAACACATAACTAAGAAAGTCTCTAAGACAGTTGGTATACTCTCCAAAATCAGATATTATGTTCCTAACTCTGCTCTCCTCTCACTATATTATGCACTAATCTACCCCTATCTTAATTATGGTATCTGTGCATGGGGGTCTACCACTGCAAACCACCTTAAGCCCATCATCACACAGCAAAAATCTGCTATCAGAATAATAACTAACTCTGCTTTCAGACAACACTCAGCTCCCTTGTTTAAATCTCTAAACTTGCTAAATATTAACTCCCTCCACACATTCTCTTGTGTCAACTACATTTACAAAACCCTGTTCTTAAATGCAAACCATGCTCTGAAACTCTCCCTGGACAGATGTAATAGGACCCATTATCACCACACCAGAAATAAATATCTCTTTGATATCCCCAGGGTCAAACTTAATCTGTGTAAACACTCTATGCAAATTAAGGGACCTAGTCTATGGAACTCACTCCCTAGTGAATTGAAAAACTGTAAAACTTTTGCCTTATTTAAAAGCAAAACCAAAAAGTACCTAACTTCATCTATTTAGTTTCCTACACTGAGCTTTAAATTTGCTCTGTACCTAGTGGTACCCAATCTCCTAATTTTTATGTAATATCAAACAACCTTATCATTGTGTTCATTGCTGTCTTCTTTTATGTGCTAGCCATATGCTGTATTGTGACTACCAATTTTTGTCAACTACCATTCAAGCTGTCATTGCAATCAATCTTATATTGTTTCTGCTGTATTGTGCCTACCAATTTGTTGTCAACTACCATTTTAAGCTGTCATTGCAATCAATCATAGCTACCTATGTGCTTTAATATACTGTACCTATAATTTTCTCTCATCTTTTTTTTTTTTCATTCCATGTAATCTTTTATCATTTTTTTGTCTATAAATTTTGCAAGTATTTACCTCCTTAAAATTTTCTTAGATTAAGGACCTGCCCGAAACGCTGCGCGTGCTAGTGGCTTTACAAGACTGTAATTACCATAATTGTATCCTCACATTCCTTATGTACATTCTTGTATATGCATAAATAAATAAATAAATAAATAGATAGATCTAGTACATACAATGCCTAAAGCCACTATTACGCAATGCGTTTCGGGCAAGAAAACATTAATATCTAGAACTTAATACTAATTGAGCATAAAGAATAAAAGATGTTGAGAACAAATACAAATAAAGATAAAAAAAAGGGGGAAACATGACTGAAAAAGCAGCACAAATACAATAGGTTGACAAACAGTGTTGATTAAAAAAAAAAAAAAAAAAAAAAAAAAAAAAAAAAAAAAAAAAAAAAAAAAAAAAAAAAAAAAAAAAAAAAAAAAAATAACAGACATGGGTTGACAATAGAGGAGTGAGGTAGATTACAGGGAATTTATTAGGTAGTGTTTAGTTTTTATCTTAAACTGGTTGAGAGAGGTACAGTCTTTAACATGGTTGGGAAGGTCATTCCACATTCTGGGCCCCTTGATTTGCAGAGCATTTCTAGTTTGATTAAGACGTACTCTAGGAATATCAAAACTGTATTTATTTCTGGTGTGGTGCTCATGGGTTCTGTTACAACCTACTATGAAGCTTTTAAGATCAGGATTGGCATTATAGTTTAGCGTTTTATATATGTATAATACACATGAGAGAATGTGCAGAGACTTAATATCTAACATATTAAGAGATTTGAGTAGGGGTACCGAGTGATGTCTGGGGCCAGAGTTGGATATTGTTCTAATAGCGGCTTTGTGTTGGGTAATTAGAGGACGTAAGTGATTTTGGGTAGTAGAACCCCAAGCACAAATACCATAGTTGAGATAAGGATAGATAAGGGAGTAATAGAGAGTCACCAGGGCAGGGCGTGGTACATAATATCTGATCTTAGAAAGAATGCCCACAGTTTTTGAAACTTTTTTAGATATATTTAGAATGTGTCCCTGGAAATTCAGCTTGTGGTCAATGAGAATGCCAAGGAATTTGCCATCTAATTTGTTACAAATTTGGGTATTGTTTATTTTGAGATTTATAAGACTAGAGGATTTATTGCCAAACAGAATATAGAAGGTTTTGTCAATGTTAAGGGTGAGTTTGTTGGCAGTTAGCCAAAGATGGACTTTATTTAGCTCAGTATTTACTGTGGCATTTAGAGCAAGAGGGTCAGGACTGGAGTAAATGAAGGTTGTGTCGTCAGCAAATAGAATTGGTTTGAGGTGTTGGGAGGCATTTGGAAGGTCATTAATGTAGATGAGAAAGAGGAGAGGGCCAAGTATGCTGCCCTGAGGAACACCAATGTTGATGGGTAGGGTGGGAGAAATTGTATTATTCACAGAAACATATTGGAGCCTGTCAGTAAGGTAGGACTCGAGGTATTGTAGGGAGTGTCCTCTGACTCCATAATGATGTAATTTAAGAAGAAGGTTATGGTGGTTGACAGTATCAAAAGCTTTACGCAGGTCCACAAATAACCCAACAGGGAACTCCTTTTTATCAAGAGCTGTATGAATCGAGTTAAGCATACTAATAAGTGCATCGTTAGTGCTTTTTTGGGTCTGAAGCCATATTGGCAAGGGCTAAGTATATTGAGTTTGGCTAGATATGAGTAAAGCTGCTTGTATATAAGTTTTTCAAAAATTTTTGACAAGTTTGGCAGGATTGATATAGGTCTGTAGTTGTTAACATCTGTGGGGTCACCACATTTGTGGACAGGCGTTACTCTCGCTTTTTTTAGAATATCTGGAAAGGTTTGGAGTTCAAGTGACTTGTTGAAGAGCAAAGCAATAGCAGGGGCTAAAGATCTGGAGGCTTTTTTGTAAATTAAAGTTGGTATCTCCTCAAGGGCACCAGACTTGGTTTTAAGGGAAAGGATTATCTCATTGACGTCAGTGGAGTTAATAGGCTTTAGGTACAGAGACTGTGGATAGTTACCTGTAAGATAGTCCTTAATGTCAGTACTGGAAGATGGAATATCATTTGCAAGGGATGAACCAATGGAAGAGAAGAACCTATTAAACTCAATAGCAGAATCAGAGGCTGAAAGCTGACCATCGTTATTAGACAGGAGAGTCGGTTTGTTATTTAAAGATTTCTTTGATCCCAATATTTGTGAAATTGTGCTCCAAGTTTGTTTAATGTTGCTCTTTATTTGAGTAAATTTATCTTCGTAGTAATTAGTTTTGGCTCGTCTAATTATCTTAGATAGCAATAATGAGTAATTCTTTGAGAATTCTTTGGAGACAATTCCTAACCTATACTTCTTCTCAAGGTCGTGTTTTTTGTTAATGGATTTCAGTATTCCCTTTGTAAGCCAAGGATTGTTAAGCCTTTTGCTTGTGACTTGTTTTGTAAGCCTAGGACAGTGGGTGTTATAAAGGCTAAGAGTTGTTTGTAGAAAAGATTGCACTGCTAGGTTGATGTCCCCTATGTTACCTAACTCGGACTCCCAGTTGACATTATCAGCAGCAGTTATAAAATTGTTTATAGCAGTTTCATTGTGCAGCCTAAAGCTTAACTCCCTTGTTTCTAGAGGTGGTTTGCTAATGTTAGTTAAGAGAAATGTGGGGTAGTGGTCTGTAGTGCTATCGGTGATTATACCTGAAGTAAGCGGAGAGGTTATGTTGGTCCAGATGTGATCTAGAGTCGTGGCAGTGCTATCAGTGATTCTAGTAGGTCTAGTGATTAAGGGTATGAGGAGGCAGGAATTCATACAGTTGAGGAAGCTAACAGCAGTAGGGTGTTCTGGCTCGCAGAGGTCAATATTAAAGTCCCCTGCGATAATTAGGTGGTTTTTGTTCAGTCTGTTATCAAGTATTAGATTTCTAAGGTTTGAGTTGAATCCAGACACATCAGTGTTGGGAATTCTATAGACTGCACCCACAGACAGGACAGACTCGGCACCCTTGACTCTGAAGCTGGCGAAGATATACTCCCCATAGCAGTCTCTAGTTCTAATTTCTTTTAAGCATGTTAGTTCTTGGTGGTAGTAAAGAGCAGTGCCACCACCTCTCTGAAGTTGACGACAGTTGTGAATTGCTGAGTAGTTAGGCATGTTAAAGAGTTGAGTAGTATCCTCTTTCAACCATGTTTCAGTAAGTATAATAAAAGAGAATTTGTTGCCAATAGTTTCAATCAAGGCACTAACATCATCGAAGTGTTTACCTAGGGATCTAACGTTCAAATTGATTACAGAGATATTGTGATTATGAGTTAATACATTGTTTACATCATGTGCTGCAAAATATCTGCAATTTAGATCATTAAAGTGATTATTGTCATAGATAGTGGATAAGAGGTTAAGTTCAGGGTCTATACTTGACTGCATAAAAAAAGCTGATTGTAGAATCAGAAATAAGTAGAAAAAAGCTATAAAATAGGGAAAAATATATACACAATACTGTACAAAACAAACACAAAAGGGGCTTACAGGGGTACAAAGGAGTAAGGGAGTATGGCTAGGCTAGGCAACCTAGGCAATTAATGAGATTAAAGAAAAAACATGTAAACATGGACTATACAAAACACAAGATATGGAAATACAAAACAAAAAATATAAGCAAGACTAAGCAATACAAAAAAAAAAAAAAAAAAAAATTGAGCAAAATGAGGTAGATTGCATACGAGTACTCACAGGTACACTGTAAGTAACAATTTGCAATTTGAGATGCAGGCAAAGCCAGGGGTACAATGGAGTAAGGGAGCATGGCAAGGCTAGGCAACCTAGGTAATAAATGAAATCAAAGAAATGTTGAATAATAAACATAGGCAAATTTAAGCTAATGATTAATAACTATAGATAGTTCAGTAATGACTGTATAATTAAAAAGACCTGAAGAACTACTTAATAACTCAATTAAATAATTTCGGTAAATGACTAGGTAAGAGTAAGTTAAAAATTAAGTCAGAAAATGAACCAAGGAGACTTAGGATACCTAGCCCCACTAGTTGACAGGGGGTTAATTAAGTTAATTCATTGAGAGTGATAATATGGTGAGACAAACCACATTGGGAGAGGAAAGTGTTGAGGTTTTCTTCTCTAGTAATAGTAAACATTTTGCCCTCTGCGGTTTTTCTCACCTTTATCAGACCATCTCTAACGAAGCACTGATGAATAGCATCTGGGTTTTGTTGCCGGATTTGACGCAGGCGGTAGAGGATTTGCTGTCTGTTCCTAGTCAAGCACTCGTTGATGTATAATCCCTTCCGTAGGGATGCAGCTGTCCGGACTAGATTGGATTTCGTGAACTGGGAAGACAGCTTCAGGCGAAGCCTGAAAAATGAATTTTGAGATTCAATTCCAGAGTCTATTTTTCCACTACCGTCCACAGGATGGGTATGGGGTGCATAATAAAAGAACGAAACTAAACTGTTGGGGGACAGAGAGCCTGTACTTGAGTTCATTGAGGTCCCCCAGGTGCCTAGGTCCCCCTGGGGCCTTGGTCTCCCTGGGGCCTTGGTCACCCTGGGGCCTTGGTCACCCTGGGGCCTTGGTCACCCCTGGAGCCTAGGTCCCCCTGGGGCCTTGGTCCCCCTAGGACCTAGATCACCTGATGACCTTCCCCCAGGGTGCAACCCTCAGGTGACCAGAGGCATCAGGTGAAAGGAAACGTTTTTGGGGATGATGATGATGATGGCAATAATAATAATAATAATAATAATAATAATAATAATAATAATAATAATAATAATAATAATAATAATAACAACAATAATAACAACAACAACAACAACAACAACAACAACAACAACAACAACAACAACAACAACAACAACAACAACAACAACAACAACAACAACAACAACAACAACAACAACAACAATAACAACAACAACAACAATAATAATAATAATAATAATAATAATAATAATAATAATAATAATAATAATAATAATAATATTAATAATAATAACTTATTTATATAAAAGTACATATATTTGGTACCTGACATAAAGGGGGGGGGGTATGTAGAGTAGTTGAGGCGTGAGGTAAACAGTTACAGTGACTTGGAGTTCTCACTCAGTGGTTTACAATTGATAGACGGTGGTAGACCGGTATACAGCGGCGGAGAGTCAGGTTTACAGCGGTAGGGAGTCAGGTTTACAGTGGTGGATAGTCAGGATTACAGCGGTAGATAGTCAGGTTTACAGTGGTGGATAGGCAGGATTACAGCGTTAGATAGTCAGGTTTACAGTGGTGGATAGGCAGGATTACAGCGGTAGATAGTCAGGTTTATAGTGGTGGATAGTCAGGTTTACAACGGTGGATAGGCAAATTGACATTGGTGGATAGTCAGGTTTTCAGCTGTAGATAAGTTTAAAGCGGTGGAGAATCAGGTTTACAGTAGAGGAGAAAGACTGTTAGTGGTTTACAAGTGCCTTATGAACCAGTGGCTCGACTGCAGTACCCTGCTAGAGTTCTAGAGAACCAAGCCACACAGTTTATCCAAACACTTGGGAAGAGACAAAAAAAAAAAAGTTAATTTAGAGACCATCTAAGACTCGGTTGGTGTAGTTAAGGTGATGCTCGAGACGACGCCCAAGACGTTTGAGGTGCACCTGGCCTCCTACCAGGGCAAGTATGAAGAGGTCAAGACCAATGTTCTCGCCAACAACCGTCTTCTCACAGCTGTTGATGATGTTAGTAGGAGTGTGTACCACCTTATCTTGCCTCCTCGGGTCACTTGGCCCCTCGGGTCACATTTGTCAGCATTACGGGACATGGTTACGGTGGCAGCTTCTAAAACATTTAATATTCTTATGGGCTATTCATGCCCATGCCACCTTTTGGGTGGCTTAATCTTCATAAATCAATCAATTTAATATTGGGATCTCGTGGGAGCGAATAGAGTTCTGTATATGTGAATTTACTTTTATTAATTTCTGTGACATAGCCTTACCTTGACTTAGCCTTCCCGGCTTGGTGCCTTCTTTACTACTGTAATTACTTGCTTACTTTTATTAATTTCTTTCATTAGGAATATTTATTAGACCTGAACAATGATTGGCGTGTAGTTTATCCCACTAAGTGTATATGCTTCTGCGGTTTCCTGTTAAATACAATATTTGACTCGGTTACCTGCCTATGGGACTCGAGCAGTCCCTATTTAATAAGATGAGATTTGCATACATTCTTATTTATCACTTTATTTATTTGGTTTAACCAAGCAAATTTTGTTGACAACTGTTGAATCAAATAATTTCCTTGTAAATATAATTTTGGAACTCCAGTTGCCTTCATAAAATATTAACTATTACCTGATTCTGTCTAGTCTTGCCCAGTACCATTACAATGATGGACCTCTGAGTTGCTGGTCAAAATAGGAATCCAATTAGAATCAAAATTGTCAAAATAATGTATAATGTAGTGTGTGTGTCCATATTAGAACTGGTAGTTGGTTCATCTATTTATAAATAATTTTATAAGTTTTTGACTGTATGATGCAATATTGTACATATCATTGTATTTTTATTGCTAGAGATTTAATTTTCCTTTTATTTAAAATTAAATACATTGTTAAACTGTCTGAATTTAGTAATTACAGTACTGTATAGGCAAGTGGTTGAATTTGCTTATTACAACAATAAAGTTCAATATAATACTTGACATGAGCTGTAGTTGGGAGGTGGGTAATCTAGGCCTATGTCTGGGGAATTACTAAAATATTTGGCTGATTATACTTCTACAAAGGCAATAATCCTTCGGATCTTATATATGCTATCCACCATATTTTTTCTGTACAGAAAATCTTTTCTTTTGCGAGGAAGAGAAAAATAGTGGGGAGAGTTGCCTTTCCACGCTTTGCTGAACCTAATACCAGTATAACAATATAACATGTATAAGTATAACAATGTAATCTAACTAGGCGGAAATAATAGTAACCTTCCCTTGCCTAATACTTTAAAGTATTAGGCTAGGGAAGAGGCATGGTGAAGTGGTTAAACACTCGCCTGGCATTTCACGAGCGCTTTGGCCTGGGTTTGTATCCTGGCCAGGGAGGATTTACTGAGCCCCAATCCTTTACTGTAGCCTTTGCTTCATTACACACAGAAATCACAATAGTGTGATGCATCAAATGAACAAATTCCCAGACGCCGATTAAGGCAGTGTCTGGGGTCCTCTCGGACGTAGGTTCAAACCCTCGTCACGGCCCTTGTGGAGTTGTTCATTTGTAGCCTTTGTCACCCAGCAGTGAATGGATACCTGGTTGTTAAATGATTTGGTAGGTTGTATTCCGAGGAAAATTAGGATTAAAGACCTGCCCGAAACGTTATGCGTGCTAGTGGCTTTACAAGACTGTAAGAACTTTTTTTTTTTTTTTTTTGAGTGTGTGTGTGTATGTATATATATATATCTACAGTATATATACAGCACTGTATATGTAACTGTATATGCAGTTACTTTGCCATACCAGTTCGGCAAGACTATAAATTTTTTCTTGTCTCAGTAAACATACTTAAACTTACTATAAATTCTCCAGCACTGCAAATTGCTTTGGAAATTTGTACACAGGCCAGATTTTAATTTTGTGCATAATAGTAATGTATTAAAATGTTTCGACTTAAATTATATTCTTTTGTTTGCACTATAGTAACAAAAAATATGCATGTACAGTATATATGCTGTTATATACTGTATGTATATAACATACTTTATATATTTTTATATAGGAGTACTGTATAATAATGTACTGTATTTATAGAAGCAGATTAATATTTATATAGAAGTACAGTATATTAATATTTCTGTCTTGGTTCATGCTCACTACATTTATTTTATTTATTTATTTATTTATTTAAATATATACAAGAAGGTACATTGGGATTGTGAGGATACATAGTATAGTAATTACAATATTGTAAAGCCACTAGTACGAGCAGCGTTTCGGGACCTAATTCATTATTGGTCATCGCTTAAACTTGTGAGCAGTGTTGTGATTGCAGTGGTAAAATTTGTTCCAGAGTGGGCGGCAACCACTACACTGGGCAGCCTGTGGGGGACACGAAGAACTCGCCAGCTTTTTCATAGAGCATGGAGCTCCAGTCGACAAAGCTGATGATGTAAGATATTTATCATGCTGGAGATTAATTTTCTAGTTTGTGGAAATATAATTACAGTATATACCATAGCTAACTTACTATCTATAGTATTTACAGTATATTTAAATCTTACTATGCATACCCAGCTACATACCCAGTCAAACTGGGTACAAGAACAGTTAATATTTGTCAGTTGATAATTTGTCAGCAGTCAAACTGTAAACTAAGTTTTAGTTTACAGTTTGTGATTGATCCTCATTTACCTACCTACCATAAACTTTTCTTTTTTTTTGGCTCAAAGTATAACAAGTTTAAATTTCAGCTTTGCAACTGTGATTTTTAGCATGCATTGACTACTCTTTGCCTGATAGAATACTATAGAGTACTGTATATACTTTTATCTCCAGAGTGGCTGGACGCCATTAATGATTGCAGCTTCTGCTGGTCGGGAGCAAGTGGTGAGGCTCCTGATTGGTCGTGGTGCTAATATCAACAGACAGAACAATGAGGGCCATTCTGCTCTCCAGTATGCTGCATCCAAGAACCATCATGAGGTTACATGAATAATTATATTTTCCTGTTAAAGCAAATAGGTTGAGTTTGCAACTAATATAGTTGATTTTTTAATGTAACTTTTTTCTCATTCACTTGCAATTACTGTACTGGTGTACAGTACAGTACTGTATTTAGGAATAGAGTGAACCTATTTGAAAAGAATAAATGAGCTACAATGTCACTTTCAAATCATGCAAAGAAATAATTGCTTAGGCAGAGTTTGAATCTGAAGTAATTGTCACAGTACAGTAATAAAATTGTAATGTACTGTACAGTATAGGATAAAGTTGCCAGTTATTGACCTTTTAAGAAAGTTATTGGTGTCTCAAGAGGAATAGAAAATTCCAATATTAACCTTCTGATACAGATCTATGGTATGAATTGAAAGGTAGTATATCAATAAAATGGCACACAAATATAGTCAATAGATGGATGCCTTACTGGTACATTAATAAAAATATGTTGGACATGTCAATGCCAGTTCTTAGCCAGGTACAGTAGTTACAGTATATGACAACTTTTTAAAGGCATTTCATTAGTATAAATATTTTGTCTGTGTGACACCCACTTTCAACACTACTGCACACACTATAGCCTCTTAGTTACTTTCTCAAGGAAGCTCTTCACGAGAGAGCTGCCATATCAGTAGGTTCTCAAGGAGGCTTTGTCGCCACACCAACCTTACAGTAACAGAACAATGCTTTGGAGTAGGTGATGGATATATGGGATCCCAGCCAGTAAAGGGCTGTGGTAGTGCACCTCCTCAACATTTTTAGGTTCCACTCTCGCCACCAGTTGCCTATAGAGCCGAGATGGCTAGTATGACCAGACACAATGTGAATGGTATTATGTATTCCAGAAATGTAAAAGTGTGCAACCTCACACAAGTCATCTGATCAAGATAGACTAACAACTTATCTGTAAGTAGAAAGTCTGATCCTTGGGAGCACCTGAAGGATGTCAGATGCTATAAGGAGCTTTTTGTTCATGTGTGGATGGTAAAAGTTACTGGTTTTTAATTATTGAAGGAGTAAGACCTAATTGTGATGTCACCATGGTTATTAAGATTATAGTATACCTATCTGGCTCTCTCAGTGCTCTGGCGCTCTCAGTGGATTATGGGGGACGTCATGACAATAATTATATGAATGTGTGCAAAATTTGTGTATGATGGCTATAAATGAAGTTTCTACATTTTATGCACACGCATGATGCAGTTCTTTAGCAGATATGATATGGATTTTCAATATGTAGATTATTTTAAAGTTTTGTGGACATACGTAAAACTTGCTAAATAGAATGTTAACACATGAAGGACTTGCCATAGAGAGAGAGAGAGAGAGAGAGATGGAAACTGTTTGTGATATAGGGGTAAATGAAATGAGGTTCTATAAGTGATCAGTCATTTTAAATACCAGAGCTCTGTAATTAAGAAGAGGACTATGTGCACGAGAGGTTGAGAACAGAGCAAGTCGGGGAAGGAAAGTAGCAGGTGCAATGATAGACCAGCTTAAGAATAAAAGCAGCTAGAGAACTGCATTGAGGAGTGGTAGTGTGACCCATATGAACAGATGTGTGTCTGTGCATAAACATGATGAATCAAGAGCTAAGAGATGTAGAAACAGGCTGGCTGAATGCATTTGTGGTGTTAAGAGCAGAAAGTACAGGAAGTGAAAATGTCAGGAAAGATGGGGAATAGAAAAGTCGGTAAGTTGTCAAATTGAGAGTTGCTTAATGAGATGGATTGTACAGATTGAATGAATTTTAAAGTAAGAGAAAGGTGCCAAGATGATGATCATAGACATGGTGAGTGGATGTATCAAGAAGTGGTAGGAAACAAGTACAGTATACTCTATAGAATCTGTAAAGACATTGAACATTGTATAAAGCAGTTGGGTCCTTCCATGGATGTATTGTTAGTGGGATGGTCCTACATGATGCTACAACATGTAATGGTGAAGATATGGTGATTGGATGGTGCTCATTTTATTGAATATCTTTATTCTTTTTCTGTCTGCCTTATTTCATTTGGACTACTGCCTCCCTACCTATTGAATGCAGGGGAATTGGGGTAGTGATGATGAAAAACTGACTAGGAGCCAGGAGAAGGATTCGAACCTGCACATTCCTTAGACCACTTAACCATGTTTATACTATCACGTTAATGTGATTTCTTTGAGCAAATGATAATGATGTTATTAACTAATCTATTATTTTTATTTGTCATCAATCAGATTGTGGCTATCTTAATGGACAACTGGGCCGATGTGAATTTGCAAGATAAGCTGGGAGCAACACCTCTTCATCGTGCAGCATCAAAGGGCAACATGAGTGCATTGGCACCTATTGTGCAGTGCAACAGGTGCTCCTTCAATCTCCAGGACTCTGAGGGAAACACTCCATTGTAAGGCTTGTTACTATGACCCTGATGTTGATGTTCCTTTTTTCACTTTCCCAGTCAAACCAAAAACTGCTAATGATAAACAAATATATTTATATACTTTTTAGACATTACAGCCAAAGCCAGTCAAATTACAGTGTATGTAAGAATCTAGCTACTTACCCTTAAATATTTCTTAAAATTTAAAGTTTGGGGGAAAGTTGTAAATAGTAGGTGAAGGAAACGGCACACTCGGAGGGTATGCAGGCGATGAGTGTGAGTGGTTTTGATGGTAGGAGAGGGAAGCTGGGAAAAGTTAGTAGACAGGGTAAAAAAGAAAGAGGATGAGAGAAGTACGAACTGCAAACAGGACATGGTAAGGGATGGCTGGGTACAAGCTGTTTGTAAGGTGGTGTGAGTATGTTAAGGCAAGGTTGTTGTCAGGTGTAAGTGCTAAGCACTTGGAAGGGACACGAGGACAAGCATCTAAGATAGGATGGAGGGGATAGTATGGTGTCCAACTACTTGGACCTTTGGGGATTGAACACTGACCTGCAAAAAGCGAGGCAGTCACTGTTACCGATTAAAGTAACTGGGAGTGGTGGGAGTGAATGTATTTATACTCGGTACGAAAAATCATAATAAATACTATAATTGCATTTCATCTTATGAATTGCTAGGGTGTTGCTGGAGTGTGGTGGTGATAGACTAATAATGTTTGTTTAATAATTTTTAACTTTTACATTATTTATTATTTTCCACCCTTTTTTCAATGGGTTACTGTATCCCCCCACCCATGAAACAAAGCAATAATGATACTGTATATGAATGTATGTTTATTCGTTTTGCCCATTTTTACCCTACTGAATTATGTTAATAGATTTTTTAACCATTTAGTGTTGGTGTAAATTTCATGTCTATTGGAACACATTTCATGTTAAAAGCTTAATTTCTTGCCAGACATCTTGCTTGTGAGGAGGAGCGTCTTGAAGTGGTGCGGCTTCTCTTGGAGCATGGTGCAAGTTCACAAATTATCAACAAGGCTGGTAAAACGCCATTTGAGATGACATCCTGCCCATCCATTCGTCGTCTTGAACAGATGAATGAAATGTGACGTTGAATTGCACATGAATACATCCATTTTCTCTTTACATTCGTCCATGTATTAAGTTATCAAACAAGACTTGAACAAATCCACAACAGTGTGTAAAACAAGATATATTTCTCTTGGCAGGCAGCAACATTAAAATGACATTTTTATCATTATGTAACATTATATTGGGTTACTGTACTAATATTTATATCTTGTATAAATTATTGTTTAATTTTCATAAATCACATTATTATGTAATTCTCAAATGTTAACTAGAGTAAAAAAAAAATTGTTTTAAATATTTGTTTGTGAAAGTCTCAAAAATTATGTAAGCAGACCTGAGCATTGCCTTGGGTCATCCTAAAACTTAATTTTTGTTCAGGATAAGAGGGATGTTATTGCCTGTAGTGTTAATAAGTGCTGGGCTGAGGGTTTCTTGCCAAGACCTTGTACCAAAGCCAGTCACTATGCAAACACATTGGTAAGGCTACACTAACTCTTTTCTTGGAGGTTACCATCGTACAAAACTGTGTGACTCGTTAGTTTATAACAATAATTTTTCAATAACTGCTGGAATGCCAATAAATGTTTTCCATAACCAAGATGTATATGCTTACCTAAAAGAAGAGGGGAATAAAAGATAATGGTGAATGAGGCAAAATACTGGAGAAAGTGATAAGAGGATTCTGGAAAGTCTGGAAGGAAAATGCAGCAACAACAATTTGGAAAATTTTAAACAAACTTGATACATTCTAAATAATCAGATTGTCTGGAAATATCTCCTGACACATGCAATATTATCAATACTGTATTCTGAAAAACAAATGAAGGAAAAAAAAAAAGTACAGTACTGAACAATTGAAGGATGTGGATGGTTTAAGTGTGCAGTGAAGGAAATTGTGACCAGTAGGACATGTGTTGTAATGTCAAGTATAAGTTATGAAAATTGTGCATAATAGTTTGAACTTACAGTGGTACTTTAATCATGGTACACTACATGGAGGCTTTATTTACATCATCTCATTCTAAGCAGGAAATTATGACAAACAGATTTTTAATAAATGTAGGAGCATAAATATGTGTAGCCAAATTTTTAAAGACTTTATTTAAGCTTTCTACATGCCACTTTTTATGTAATGTCCTAAAATGCAGGAGTCACAACAAATGATTAAAACCTATAAAAAATGGACAAAATTTCTGCCCATTCCAAAATAGTGTGACTCTTGACCTCCACTATACCATGCACTGGTTTGGTATGCTCTTTTATCTGGAATCTTTTGAGATGCAGTGACCTTTGGTGTGGCTTTGCTGTGACAACCTCTTCTGCTCTTAAGTAAAAGTAGCAGCAGGAATTATCAGGATGTTTAAATACATAGCATCTCTTAAAAATCAGTCATCTGCTAAAACTTGATGGATATCTTTAGTGCTCAAAACTTACAATTTTACTTTTGTTTAAATTTGTGACAGCTCTAAATACCCTAGAAGGTAAATGTCAAGTAATTTCGACACAACAACAATTCCATTAACACGGTACTGTATGAACAAAACTTACAAAGTTAAGCAATTACTTTTGTGGCACCAATTAATGTATATTTGATCAATTTGCAGGTTTCATATACATATCACTAATAAATACCCCATGGAGGAATCTCTGCAATGGAAGGTAAAATTCAACAAATGCAAGGATGTGACCAATACTCTTTAAAAGCTAATTTACAGTACTTTTTTGACATTTTTACCTGCATATTTTAAATTGTCAATTATTCAACTCTAACTGGATTTAAGAAAGCAACTTTGAGGTCATCTGAAGATATGCTTGCAAGTTTTAGCATTAATTTTTTTTTTAATTAATATACTTGAAAACTTCCAAATGTATTGTCCATGTAACTATATATGTGAAGAGATCCCAAAGAAATTGTAATGAAAATGAAAGCAAGTAATCAACCATTATGTGTTGTAGAACATAGTGTTGCTGATGTATCACCCATCAGAGCACATACTGCTGCTGATGTATCATCCATCAGAGCACATACTGCTGCTGATGTATCATTCAACAGAGTACATACTGCTGCTGTATCATCCATCAGAGCACATTTGCTGCTGATGTATCATCCATCAGGGCACATACTGCTGCTGTATCATCCATCAGAGCACATACTGTTGCTGATGTAACATCCATCAGAGCATATATTGTTGTTGATGTATCATCCATCAGAGCACATTTGCTGCTGATGTATCATACATCAGGGCACATACTGCTGCTGTATCATCCATCAGAGCACATACTGTTGCTGATGTATCATCCATCAGGGCACATACTGCTGCTGCAGCCGATGTATTACATACATGGTCGACATAACTGCTGGATTTTCATTTGACACCAACTTGACACAAGAGCTTATATACACATTCTGACAACAGTTGTCAGAAAATCAAACCTTTATGGCTGTCAGTGAACAAGTGAAATACAGACCTCTAGTAATATTGAAACAACCGAGAAAAGGGGTAGGAGCTGTGAGGAGGATTGGAGCCTGTGTGCTGGGTACACCTTCATTGGGAGTACCTCGAAGCCTCCTACCGATTTTCCCATCGATACATCACGTTAATGTGATTTCTTTGTGTATTGAAACAATTAAATGAAAATGTACGATACTGTACTTTATTAACTTTCAAGGTATCAATCGTTGACTTTGGAAACCATGTTTTCTTTATCAAATTTAATCAATGATTTTATCAAAATTTGTGGCAGTTTCATTGTTGAGATGTAAAGGATTGCTCATTATGCCTCTTATAATTTTTTTTTTTTTTTTTTAAGTTTTATACTGAAACAAAGTTTTACTTCCAGAATGACATACAGTACTTTTACAACTGCAAAATTGTGGAAAAATTCTTGATAATTTTTCAACGGGCAGATCTATGTCACTATAATGAGCATGAGGGAGATACCCCACAAGAACTTTTGGTACCAAAGGAGCCACCCCTTGCATCCCGACAGTTTTAACTAAGAGTCTGTATCCACTTGACACCAACAAGAGCATCACGTCACTGTCCACATTCTTTGGTAATTAAGCCGTACACATTGTCCACGAGAGATCAGTCAGCTTTACTAGTCACGTAACTTTTAAACAAAATATATTACTATGTATAATGCTGAGGTTTTACATTTTGTTAACCAGAAAAAAAAATAAAAGGACTTTTAGATTTTTGTGAAGTATTTTCCTGGGTAGAAAAATATTGGCAATACTGTGAAGGGACTACACATACCCTGAGGAAAATGTTAAATCCTAGATTATATACCCACCACCTTGATACACCAGTAGACTATTATCAAGTCTTCCTCATGCAAACTTCCACACCTACTCCCCCACCCACACTTCATTGTGCACATTCATCTCTCACTCCTATCAAGATATATTGTGAAGATTTATTCTCCATGCATCCTACATCCCTTGGACACTTTTGTACATATTGGTAGTTGTCCTGGCATCTCCCACAGTTATCTTGATCACAGCAATCTACTGCATTTTTCTTAATGCTAAACTGCCAGGGTGAGATCTCTTGAAAAGACAGTTTACCCCTGCTTGGTTAACATACTAACTGCACACCGAATGATTTACACTACTGCTGGACCCAACATACTGCATTTTTACTACAATGCCCTCACAAAATGTTGACATGTGCATACTGAACATTCACCATCACTGAATAACTCTTGCATACAATTGATATTGTACACAGAACCTCTGCATAAGCTGCTCATACATCCTCACTTTAAAGGATGATTTATCCAGATTGGTCACCAATCCAACAAGTTGTATTATATAACCCATACAAACATATACCACCACCCCCTGATGCAATATTGATGTGTATAAACTTTCAAATGTTCCTCATTGATCAGTAAACTAATATGATCTAGTTCACAAGTTGGTAAATGTGATATGCAAAGTTTATGTAAAGTTCTTCACTTGCATATGAGACTAAGTACCATTTTAACTTGGACAATTTTCTTAAAAGAAAGCACTAATAATATCCATGGATGAATGTTCACTGTGTAGCAACAAGTATATGAAGCCATTTACATTAGCCACCCAGCATTAAATATACCACAGCTAACTTAACTGATTGTATTTCCATATTGTGAGCATTGAAGCTGTATGGCAAGTGCAAAGGAATTCCACATACAATTTTTTTTAGTGTGACAACCTCCCATCTCATTAACATTATGCAATGTCCAAGCACCAAATTTGAAGCCCGTTAGCTCGCATCAAGCAAGAGAAAAGCACTCAGTTGACCGATAGAAAGATGGATATTAAAAGAAGGGGTGTCCTGGTGTGAATCCTTTATTTGAACTAATTCTATCACATTAAAACTGAAATAGAATATACTAAAACACCAAATCTTCCTGTTGTGTAAGGCCATATCTGTGGTAGTATTCACTCCAGTTTTTCATTATTCATTAATAATAACTTTTCATTGTTCAGTAATAATTGGTTGAAACGAGACCTGGGGCGGCACATCCGGACATCCCCCTGGTCCAGAGTTCAGGTATTTGTGTGCAAGTCTACTGATTAAATAATAATGACACCTACAACTACCTAAAATGATGACGCCAATGATGATGATAATGATGATGATGATGATGATCTCCGGACCCACAACAGTCAATGATTTCCCCGGGTGAGTGACAGGAGTAGGCTGGGAAGGATTAAGGGGGAAAAGAAAGGTGTGTGTGTGTGTGTATGTTAAGGAAACAGCTCGTGTTGTGTTGCTGTGACGAAGCACTCATTGCCATACTTGATTTCAGGTTTTTATATAGAAAAATAAGCATTTTTCATGAGACTATACAAGGCAGGATATTGCTGGGAAGAAGGGTCACGGAAGCCAGGAGTTCCCCAGCCCCTCCCTCCCCTCTCCCCACAATTTCATACCCACCAACACAATATTCCTACACCTGACTTGAGAATATGAAGTATTAAGTAATATCTATGAGCAGCCATGCCAAAGGTTCAACAGCTATACCAACATACTACAACCAATAAATTGCTGACAACCACTATATGCTCAAACTTTTGAGAAATACCAACTAAAAACTGCAGCCACCAGCAACCGCAGGCATCTACAGTAATACAGTTTTAAAAATATTAATGTACAAGATTCAAGCATAATACCAGCCGAATTCCTCTGAAATACGTTGACAGACAGCCTGCTGCTGATGGCACCCAGCTTACGAAGTATCTAAAAACGGCTTTCCAGAATAACCCTAAAGGTTGGGTGCCCAAGTCTGGAAGTGAAGCAGAGGCAACTCCCCTGGCATATCCGTGGCAATTTACCGAGGAAGGTCATGGTGACAAGAGAGAAAAAGATGAAGGTGATGCACAGCTAGTCCTGCTCTTAAGAAAAATTGGTGATCTCCTGCCAAAATATTAGTGTTTGACAGAACGCAAAACATTTTTGCAATCCAAGAAGAACCACTGTCCAGGTCATGTTGATAAAACTTTACAGTGCAGGAGCCTCTTGGGTACGAAAAATTAAATTCTTCTACCTACCCCCACCAGCAAAGTGCACCCTTGGCCAAGAGGACACATCCTTCCTCCTTTGGGATAGACTAAGACCCGCCCAAAGTCTCTTAACGGTGCTCAGTGCTGACATGCAAGCCACAAGACATCCACTGCATGTCAATACTAAGGCCTTTATTTTATGAATAAGCTGTGTGAAATTTCTAATTTCACATTATAATAAAACTAAGAAAAATTACTGAAAATAAATACAAACATGTATAAATAGATAAAGATGTGTTGAAGAGGCAGCCTGAATACACAAAGCCACAGAAGGCAGGAGGGGGTGAGCGAGTGAATGAGTGTTCACATCGTGTGCATGTGCACATGCATGTATGTGCAACAAAATGTATGATGTAATTGAGAGATTACTCATTTTGTAAGTCTGGACTATGAATGTAGAATATGGTGTAACATGCAGGGGTACTATGTACTTCTCATGGGTCAGGTGTAAAGCATGGTGTGTTTTGTATGGGAACATGCACAGTTCCACCCTTCACTTTTGTGCATGCTCTTTCTCAAAAATTCCTATTGATTAACTGCTAGAGAATTGTGTGACAAGAATGAAAATAAATACCGAGATAATCCTCGGCTACCGAGGCAATGGCGATAAGTCCCCAAATTTGTTTTGTTGCTGTAGTGAATCACAACACCCATCCATGGACTTTTAATAAGTGCTGTGCAATAATATTCTGATCCTCTTAGCATGGTATAATTTTGCTTTAACAAATATATTCCGACAGTTAAACGTGCTTGTGCCCAGCTCTTGGTTCACCGACAATAACGGCACGAATTTGACAGCAGCACTCACTGCTGCTCATCGCCCGTCTTGCAGTGCCAACATGTTGTCCACAACCTGCATCATTATCAATTTTGCACATTGGTACAATTTACCAATGAGTAACATTTCTATATTAGTAAACGGTTAGCAGGAAATGAACACATGAAGTCTCACACTCCTGTATTTTGAGTTTTTCAAATTTGTGCAACCAGTTTTATTTTAAGAAGCACTTTCAAATAAAAAAAAAATAACACTTGCATGGTGAAATACATACTATTTTTCTTTACCACTACTTCAACAATCCAATATTCAGATTACAACGTTTTGCCATTTCTAGGGAGCAACAGTTTCCAATAGTGGGGTGGAATATCAGTACGCTGAGCTAACACAGGCCACGCCCTGGTGAAGGGAGGCGGGGTCTTGGACATGCACATGTAACACTGTTGTCACTTACGCCACTCAATTACTTTAGGGATGACACCATGGCAGACACCAATTATCAACCCTTATGGAAAGTAAGGACCAATACTGGTGAATGAGGAAGTGATAGATGGTGTTACTAACTCTCAACAATGGCAGTGGACTGAGGATTGTGATGGTACTTTGATAGAAGGGAGATCACAGCGCACATCGCACCATTCAAAATCCAACCAACCTTGCACAAACTCCTTAAAATGGTAAAACTGGCTAAAATACTTATATATATATATATATATATATATATATATATATATAGACACACACACATATATATATATACTGTATATATATAAAAACTCTATGCAAAAAGTTAAATAAAAACACTCAAAAGTCACAGAGCCCTGGCAAGGCAAGCAATGAGGTAGTGCAGGCCCTGCCCAAGGCACAGTGACAGCTGTGGATGGGCTCAACAAATGATTCAGGATCAGATGGGCAGTTCATACGTGTTTAGTTTGAAGAATGGCAGTCCTCCATGCAAATGACAAATGAAAACTACAAGTACCCCAATCTGCGTGCCAAACCCACCAGTGGGGAAGGTACTCTTCTGAGCAGAGAAAATGGTAGTCTTAACCCAATGCTTATGATTTTCTAGTTGTGTAAAGACAGTTATTCCATGCCCATAGAGGCAATCATATTCTGCATTTTGAACTACAGATCTCATCTAGAATTCACTGAACTGGCCACACTCCATTGCCATGGCTAACTTGAGCTGCAAACTGGAAAGTTTGTGTACAAAATATTGATCATCTCTCCATGATAAAAAGCCTCTTGGAATGTATGTTACACAAGAGTGCACAAGGATGGGGGGATCGGATGTGTGGGGTAGTGCGATACTGCTGGTGAGGCAGGTTCTTTGTCACAACAGTGTTACATCCCCCCCACAAGCCCATACACCATGTGATGCTGCCAGGCCTGTTAAGGGTAGCAAAGAAGAGGGCAGAGGGTAGAGTGGGATCAGACAGAGGTGGCTGTAGTGCATAAACCACCGCACTCGCATACAGGTGGCAGTACAATATGCAGGCCACCACACTCCACATTCAGGTGGTAATAATAGTACACAAGCCACCTCACTCAACACATAGGTGGTAGTACAGTATGCAAGCCACCTCACTCCACATACTATTCGTCCACCTTCATTTTCTTCAGTGCCGGTTCGTCAGTGTTGTCTGGAGGGTTGACGGAGACTGAGCTGGCAGAAGCAGCCCTGGATATCTGGCTGGGCACATCTTGAGTATCTGATTCACTAATGGATTCACTGGGAGCCTCTGATGCTGGCTCACTTGGGGCCTCAGATAAGGCCTCACTTGGAGCTTCAGACACAGCCATTGAATCATTTGTGTCCTCACAGTTTAAGATGACCGAGGCTCTGCTATTCTCTGCGTCAGAGGTGCCATTGGTATTTGCCGTGAAATTTTCCTTGTTGGCAAAAGCAGAGTCCATCGAGTCATTGCTCTCTTCTGGCATTGGACCACCCTGTAAACACAAAACTTATTGAGTATAAAGTAAATGTTTTGAATGCAGTAGCAAAACTTGTGATCATCACATTTTCACCATCATAGGGTAAAAAGGAACCATCCCAGAAAAAAAAACATACAACACAAACACACACACTATACAGCCTCGTGGAGAAACAAGCCCCACCATAATCCAGCAAAATAGCTGCACCAGCACCTTGCTGGTGCTTAAGGCTATATTATCGATGCCAGACCACCTCCTCCCCTTAGTATGTTAAGGGTTAGGCAAGGTAAGACTAGGATGACAAGGAGGTGGCAGTGAGAACTATACCACAAACTACAAAGCAATTTATTATAAAACTGCTTCCAATAGTGAAAAACCAGGTTTGAAAGTTTGTGTTGGTATATTAGGCACAGATTGACCACCTAACAAGTCCAATAAAAATTGAGACTGTCCTATGCAGACAAGGAGTCACAATAATGTGGCTGAAATATGTTGACCAAACCACACACTAGAAAGTGAAGGGACGACAAATTTTAAATGGTTATTGTTATAACAATAAAATCCTGTTACTTAATGTAGACATCAATTACTGTATGTTGGTTGCAGAAAATAGAAATACAAAAACTTCACAGATTGCTGTCAAGAATCTCCGGTAGTTGCATTCCACATAACTGTGACTGTGGTTTGTCTCATATGATCTAAATTAATAAGGGAGTCCAAATCAGAATCATGCAAACACACTTAAAAATAAGAATTAAATTCGGTAAAATATGTCTAAACATACCTCTGCCTTGTGGTTACACCGACATTAAAATTGCTGACTTTTTAGGAATGTTAATTCTGAAATGCATCCCCATCAATAAGAATGTTAACGTTTTAAGAAATATATTAATAAATACATCAACCACTGGTGGTATAATCACTGAATGCATTTTACTCAGGAGGCGAGGCATTACATTTTCAGATGTACACTCATTTCAATTTCAGAGCAATTCTCATCAAATACACGTATTATGTACTACATTATTAGCTCGTTGAAATTTTATGATTGCCAGCCTTCGTTACCAAATAACATTTTGCATTACAGTAAAGATTTTCAAATGTAGATTTTGTTCAAAGTGGTATGAGATTATTCAAATACTTTTTGCTAGCAACTAAGACTTTTTCCAAAATTTTCAAATTCTCTTTTATAAACTAGGACTATTTTCATTAGTAAATATCAAGAGTTTTCCACATGGTCAAAATCTTTTTTTAGATGTCATTTCTTTTTTCACTCTTTTTACAGTAGTGGAACTTGGACAAATAGGGATCATCTTAAAATATATATTATCAAAATGGAAAGTTAAAGTTTATTTATTGTTACCCCTTAGAATACGTATGGTTCAACTGACCCCCGCCCCAAGCGATCTCTATTATTGAAGAGTTTAAAGATTATTTCTTATCATATTCTTATTATGAAAGATGTTCAATACTGTAACCTATCAAGCAAGTTATTAAAATCATAACCAAGTTTAACCTACATTTTTTGCTTTTTGAGAAGACTCCGTCTGAGAATCTCCATTCTCCGTTGGTTGCTGTGTGGACGAGGATGTAGTGGTAGCGGAGTTACCAGGCATGTCTCCAAGGAGATCCTTCTTCAAGTCTGCCAAAACGAAGTATGCCCAGAGTGCCATCTCAACCTTGTGGGGGTTCCACATAGTTGAACTCCCTGAATTAAAAATGATAATTAGTGCCAAAGTACAAAAAAGTAGTAAAGGCAAAATGTTTTTAACATAATATACTGATATCCAAAGACCTTTCATCACAATTTTTCCCTTACTAGGAAAGGCCCTGGGCAGAAGAGAATACCCCATTCAATATTTATGTAGCTGACAAGTAACAAGTTGGAAAATTAGTGAAACAGGTCATACACCAAAAATGCATCCATCTAGTGGTAAGGAAAAAATTCTAAAAATCTTGACAATGTACAAATTATCTTGTATAGCTCATATTACATCAACCTAATACACCATAATCTAACTTTTGTGCAGAATGTATTAAGGTGAGGATATGAGTGCCAGGAATGTATAGAAATTGCATGTAACTAACTTTATTATAATCTTGGAACAGTTCCTATAGATTACTTAACAATGTGTGAATTTTTCATCACCTGTTCATAACCAGGTTGGAAAAGAACTATGTATGATTTGAATGATTATACAGTACAAGGTATTCATTATAAAATAAAGAGTTTGTATAACAATTTCAATCACTTTTTTCATTCTTATTCTTGAGTGATAGTGTATTTGACAGGTATGCCATAAATTATTGTATGGCTCTCGCAGCAAGTTCACAGTTGATATTAGCCTCTAGTGGTGTGTGCACAATTATTCTATTACTTGTTTGGATAAAAGTTACTGTTTATCATCATCATTGCTGCCAGTGCTAGCAAATTTATATAGAGAGTATTATAATTTGTTCCCGGCATAATGACTTTTACTAAACACAGACACACAGTGACTGACCCCCGCCATTACTAGTGATTATGCATGTGGTGGTTCCGTGATTTTGATGCATCTGCTAGTAATGGATTTTTGTGTATTCCTGACCTGGTCTCTGGCATAAAATTTAAAATTACTTCCCTGCTAGACTTCCAATGAGCATATTATTATCAAGAGCAACCCAGCCAATTACTAATGATGGTTAATGAGTTCTAAGAACTATCTTATTAAAACAGGTGTCACACAGTGAACACACACATCCTTAGTAAGCAGATTATTCCCTCCCCCCCCTCTTTTTTTTAACAAGTTTTCATGTGCATAAACAGTATCCCCATAATGTTTCTTGCCTTCCACTCGGTCTCTCATTCGTAACATTAAAAATACTAGCTTTAATATGTCATTAACCAATATATAATAGAACAATTCTTGCCTTATTCACAACTTGATCCTTCTCCCTTCCCACCTCATACAAATGACTAGTAAAGTCCTTTTTGGTGTGTATACATGTATGGTACTGTATTAGCTCAGTTTTCCAAAGCATGCTGAACCAAATACAGTACAGGTACCAGTATTTGGGTTATCCTGTCAAAATCGCACTTTGGATAATTTTCTGGCAAAACTTTGCCATTGCCATATCCGGACAGAAATCAGGATAACCAGAGATTAGGTTACATAAATTTCCAATAACTACATATTTCAAGATCTACAGTTTCCAACAAGAAGACAAACTACAACAATTTAAGCTGAAGCTCATTTTAAATTATATTTTTGATTTACACTGTGTGGGGAAATTCTAATTATGCTGGTTGATACAAAAATACTTTAATATGGTCAGTTTTGGACTTCATCGATAAAAATTCTGCTTGGCCTGATGTCTGGTTCATCCGGTGAGGGGTCCTTCTCATATAGTCCAGATAAGCGAACTTAAGACAGTATTTGCCATTACCCAAAAATAAAACAGTACAATCATTCCTACCTTCTTTATTTAACCTATTAGCTGCTGCCTTAAGTTGTTCCACAAAATTTAGAAGTTCTTTCGTGGTATAATCGATGCCTTCAATTTCTGGGATGGCCAAGAGACACTCGTCGGCCATGAAGGCACACAACTCTGGGCAGCCCGCCGTCAAGATTGCTGTAATTTAGATAGATAAAATTTAAAATGAATTCTGTGAAACAAAATTATGACGACATTGGATGCAATACAATAACCGAGTACCGTACTTTTATGACTCACAGGGATAACTAACTAAAAGGAATTAAGGGCAAGGAATGGTGATAATGCTAGAATTTACAGAAACAAGAGAAGTAGCCGAAGTAAAGGATGTAAGGAAGGTACAATGCTAAAATATGCACTATAATACTATACCCCTACTAATCAACATTATAATTTATATCTGGTTAGTGCACGAACCATGTATACAAAACTACAGCATACACAAAATAAGACACAATCAAGTTGCTTAAGGTGCTTACTTGAGGCCATTGCAGGACCAACACCTTTTAAGTTACACAAGGCTTGTATGGCAGATGGCAAATCTTCCTTCTTCATCAAAGCACGGAAAGCTTTTTTAGTTTCTGTCATACAGAGGCGCGGAGTGTTCATCTGGATCAAGTCTTTTAGTCTGGGTGAAAACTTTCCACGCTGAAAAAAAAATCAATTATTAAAGTATGACCAATGCTTCACTTTTTACCACCCAAAAGTATTCCAGTACTGTAATGGCTCAAAATATCAAATACCTGTATTAAACATTTCTGTTTAAGCAAAATAAAATAAAGTAAACTTATTAATTTACAAAACTGAAGTTAACTAATGACAATCAAATGAAAATGTATTTTGAATGGCATGGAATAGAAATGTCTGAAAAAATTATATCTATTAATAAAAAAAATTTATTACAAAATTAATAAAAATAAATATAGATAGATATATAGTAGATGGTACCACACCTCTGGTTGCGTTTGTAGGGACCCTCAGCCTCGAAGAAGAGGCTGTGTAGTACCTTGGGAAACTTTGTGGGCCTCCAAACCAAGCCCGAATATTGTCTTCCTACCATTCCCCAACATATTTGTAGTTTTATTTTATTTGAAACTATTACACAAAATGAGTTACAACATTGTGTGGTTACAACTTTGATTGCAAAAAGTACAAAATTAGCTATCACAGACTTTAGTTCCTCCAACTCCTCAGATGGCAGCCAGGAACCATAAAGGCAGTGTGCATTTCCCCTCTGTATTGCCACACTGAGGTGCTGGAAACGGAAGTTGGGGGCTCTAGGGTCTCGTTTCAATTACTTTAGAAACCATATCCTTCAAAAAATTAGTGGTACTTCTACATAAAGTGTCTGAGGCAACGGGACAAAAATTGTAATGGTGATCCCGATCTTCGTACTTTCGAGACTTTGTCGAATCCAAGTGGGTGGCAGCCTTACTTGGTTGTGCAACACTAAACTCAATGTAGGTGTTAGCCAAGGTTAATGCACATGTGTCGTCCTAAACCAACTGCTTCCCATTCTTCCAGGTGAGGGGATGGGGGGGGGAGGTTTTGTTTCACTGTGATCCCATCTAGGCAATCCACAGGCTCGTCAGAGTTATGGAGCTTTAGGTTAAGGGGCACGCGTTCTGCTAGACAACCAGCTGTGGTAAGGCTCCTCTTAGTTTGCTTTTTCAGGAAGTACTCAGTCTGGGCTTAACCATTCACAAGTGACCCATTCATGAGTAGTGGTGAGGTAAACAAATTGTTATATTAACTTTAAAATTGTAGTTTTATTGTTGTGCAATAGTTTTAAGACATTTGCAAAAGATTGCTCCTCCATATAGTACAAAGAAAATGAGCCAATACCTCTGATACTGATACAAAGGTATGCCTCTAGAAGGTTCACTTAATGAACCCAGGGTAATAAACTTTATGAACTTGAAGCAGATGCCTCAATGAGTCTCCTCTTAGTAATAGCAAGTTCTGATCATTTCCATATCTCATGCATCACTACACTGTACAGTTTAGACCAGTATGTACCGCTATTTTAAGATTGGTATTAACACTTTCGCGCTATCTGGACGCGCCGGCGCGTTCGGTTTCGTCTAACGTAAACGCATAGTGGACATAAAGTTATGTCTACTTTTAAAATATTTGTATAAAATTCAATTTTTATCCGATTTACTCTGGGTTTGTTTCAAACTGCGCGCTATGAGGCTCTCTTTCTCACCACTAGGCTGCATGGTACAATAAGTTCATGAAAGGTGTGGATAACTTCGATCAAATGGTATTTTGTCCCAAACGGGTTGCAGGTGGGTGACTTTAGCCGTTTATACTGGTAATTCTTCCCCCATATCATGTATTATATGCATATGTCTGTTTAGGGAATTTTATTCCGATCAATATACAACCAAAAATAACTGTGTGCAACAAGTATAATCTTGACAAACATAACAAAAGTAAAAATATTTCGTGTGTGTTTGACGCTCACTGATATGTTCCAGCGTCGTTTTATATTTGTCGCTATTCTAACTTACGCTTTGTTGATATTTTTTACCTATGGGCACATAGAACATTCTATTGCGAACACATTCACATAAAAATGAATGACGTACATAGAAAATTAATGTCATGAGAGTGAAATAAGTATAAACTTTCAAAGCGCCGTGCGTCGTCCCGTCACCGATACCGGGTAACAATTTCACCACTTCCCACACTCTTGCGGGCGGGCTGCATCATTATTCTACGCTTATATTCATATCACCGTGTTCGGAATTTCATTGCGAGTCCATTGATACCAAAATTAACGCTGTAGAACAAGTGTGGAGGTGATTACAATCCCAAGAGTAAAAACATTTTGTTGCTGATGGGCGCTCACGGCGAGTCATCTACGTAGTTATTTATTTGGTGCTGGTATTCCTATATGTTTCGTGACTTATTTTACTAATGTTCTTCTAGAGAATTTTATTGCGAACACGTTGGTACCAAAATGAAATACGTAGCATGAGAACTAAGGTCAGAAGAGTAAAAAGAGTATTCACATTTTTGTTTTTACGCTTAAGCGATAAAAACGCAGCGCGCACATTCGGTTGGCTGAGTGACCTTTGCGGAGAGCGCGAAAGTGTTAAGTTGCAGGCTGTATAAATAATCTTTAAAATTTAAGTTTTTGTTTATGTTTCAAATATTATTTCAACTAGTTTTCCATATGCTCCACTTCCTCATATTATACATGCCATAACCTTAATATTATTTATTCAAGTTACTTAGAAGGTTTCCAGGCATATATATATTGAAGCATATGAAAATATAGTACAGTACTGTATACAGTACAGTAATATTTTTCAGTACAACTTTTACCTCACTAAAACATAAAATTGCTACATCCATAGCACATGTCTTACCATATTATAATAACAGAATTCACAAATCTACCCAAATTACCTTGAACCTCTTCAATGCTTTCACTTTTTCTGGTTACCTTTTGCTCTTCAGAAAGTCGGGTACTTTGAGACTACTTGACTTATTTAAACAGTGCTGTAGCACTTCCATGAATGAGGAAAAAGCAACAAGCCTCACAAACTCCCATCACAATGCACCTATACACCTTGCTCACAAACGTGAGATTGTCCGATAATGAAGGACTAGACGGCATATGTCAAAGTGGCTTACCGAGAGTTTCCATTTCATACATAGGCAGAGTTCTTCATGGGTGAGGTGTGCATCTTTCCCTCTGGATTTTATCTTAACCGGCAACTCTTTTTGATACCTGATGGAAGAAATATTGAAATTAAATATTTAAAATATGCAATATACACTATGTCAAATTCAAGCACATTATTGTAGTACTAGTATGTTAAAAGACTGATATAACAGTAATTCTTTACCTTTAGAAACGTATTATACAAACGCCTGAAAAGATATGGTTAACATGCACCATGATGAATTTACACGCTTGTCAAGCTTTTGAAAAATATAATACCTAAAAAAACTTTATTTTGATTCACTTTCAAGTATTATATACAGTAGTGCTTTTGAGAGGTGCACCCATATTTATTTTTGACCGATACTAACTCTACTGTACCTCATAACCCGATAATGATACAGCACTTCAATGCTGTGAGTAATTATCAAAAGACGGCACTAATCTGTAAAGACTAACACCACCTGTATCACAGTTGATACAAAAGGTTCTAAATGTCATTTAGGATGTGAATGCAAGCACAAAAAGACAAGATGAGTGACATCAATGGCACAGGATTTTCCTAGGAGTCTACTGAGGGGCAAATGTGACTGACTTTGAGAGAGCAAGACTTACTGTAATTCTGAAAAATCGGGACACTAAGAGGTGTGACTAATGGGACAAATGGCATTTCAGATAATTTGGGGCAGGGTGTTGTTCAATTGGATTATGCTCATGGATTAATGGCATGTGGTCAATACAGGAGAAGGAGGAAGACAGTGGGAATAAGTGATAGGTCACATTTAAGAGAACTGTATGCCATCTCTTACTGTAGTACAAATGATTAAGATAGGAATCTGAATAACGAATTCCTTTATGGAAGCTGCAATAGGCACAAATGGCCTCCTCTACATCAACATCCACAAGGTCATTCGAAATACTCTAATATTAATCTGGCTAGGTATCCAGCAAAATTCAACAAGAAACAGCAAATACTGGATTTTGACCACCACACAATAGGAAGGGTTAATTCAAGCACAAGGAACCATGAGGACACCGAGTCTACCAAATTAACAAAGGAACGTTGGCACAAAATTTAGCTGCCATAGAACATACAAAATTGAAAAGCTCTGTTTTGAAAATACTAGTCTCTGGGGATGGGCTCACATTTAGGTTTGATCAGGAAAACGATGGAGTAGCTAACACTGTCAGCAGACTTCGACCCATCTGTGAACAGAAAATAGTGCACGAGGCAGGAAAAATATTCACGTAGAAGTTTCATAACAGTAGCAGTACAAGCCTTCCATTTGTGGGTCAGGGCCTTTTAAAATTTCACAAGACCCTCCATGGGAAATAAGTAGAAACAGTAAGGAGAAAAATTGAAAATGTGTACCGAGATTATCTTGTACATGCAGTAAAAAAGAAGAAACAGGTAGTACCAAAGCAGTAGTAGCCAACAGTAGGGAGTGTTCAACAACTCCCTACAGCATGGTAGTGTTGTAGGGACCATGTGAAATATCAAAGACATTACTGCACTGATAATGACGATCCTTTTAAGACAGAACAGGTTTCAACATACAAGCTCTGGATAAAGGACGAACCAAGGCACAACCCTGAATGACGTAGAGCATCAAGCAGAGCTTCAACAATACATGCTGCAGACCAATTAGGATGGAATAAACATTTGAATCAATCGACTGAATGAAGTGGCAGTGCATGTGAAAATCATCAGGGATGGCAGTACCATCAGAATATGAAACATCAAAATGCTCTGACCACATGGGTGAACTAAACACATTCTTGTGGAAAGGCACATGCAAAGGGACAGAAAGAAGCAGAGTGTGATTATGACACCGAGCACTGCTGGTAGGAAGGTGTAAGATTATCTTTGCTGTTATAAATGAGTTAGTCATTGCACAAGGTGACAATCAATCTTGGTAAATGTGCTGTAGTTGCTTTCAACTCGTTGGACTTTTTTTTTTTTTAATTTAGATCTTAAAACTAAAGTTAATGGGCAGAGATTCAAGATAAGTACAGTATTTAAAAAAAAAAAAAAAAATGCTCACATCAGCAGCATATTGTATCCTCAATGCAAACTTGTCGATTTTTCTGATGTTATTAGACACCTGAAAGTCGGACTCATGTCACCGCGAGTGAATTTGGTCATTTAGATTCCTGGTAAAATTATAACATTATCTAACAGTCAATGTCTCTGCTTGAATGTGGACCATGAGGGTCCATGGGCCCCTAGGTTAAGGACCCCAACATATCAACATAATGATATATTGATGTGTTCGAAGGGAATCGTCTATCTAATAACCATCATCAGCCCTTTTTTCAAGCATCCTTTTATCAACTTAACCAGACGATCCTTACAGGCGTTAGAAAGGCTCCTCAAAGCATGGCTCTGTACCAGATTAAGGGGTAACTATTCTTCTTAAGTACTTCACACCACTGACCTCTTAAACGTCACCACAAATATATAAACTCAATTGTCAGGAAATAAAACTAAGGAGTGATGCATATAATGGTGTAGCAGGTCTACAAGATAGAATAAAAACTAATTGGCAAAGAAATCAGAGATACCCCCAGCTGAATACAGTACTTGGAATTAATTAATTACCATCACAAAAGTTGGCTTGCCGACAAGAATTTTAAAATGCACTGAAATCAGATCAGTGTTGCTAATGTTACAGGAGTAATTTTGATCCATGCAAGTCTTGACGTAACATGCTAGGGCTATGCAGATTTCAATAAATTGATTGTATAATCAATGTTAGTTATCCTCAAAATGTATGCATCTTAAACCTTATCAACCAGGCTGTGATTCATACGTCAGGCTGTGAGCAGCCGCGTCAAACAGCCTGGTTGACCAGTCCAGCAACGAGAAGGCCTGGTCGACGACCGGGCCGTGGGGACGCTAAGCCCTTGAAACACCTCCAGGTAATCTTGTTTATTTGCTATTTTCAATTACTTACTGCAATCTTTTATGACACCTTTTAATGTTGGTAAATTGCAAATTTGTTTTTTAGATTTATTCCACTTACAGTGCTGTTGGTACTGTTGCCATTATTTCTACAGTACTACTACCACCAACACCAGTGTATTACCTACACAGTACCAGTATACATCACTCAGATTAATGCTTTTTAATATGTCTATAATTATAAGCTTGTCAAGTGTAAGTATAGTTCAGCAGTGTAAATATTTACACTGCTGAACAAAATTTCAGTACAGCCAGAATTGTAATGTTTTGTATAATTTATGAAAACAAGATAATCTAGAAAAAAGTTTAATAACAATTATTAATGGAATGATCAGGCTTATTGTACATTTTTAGTAAGCAAAGACAAATAGATTATTATTTTTATGTACAAATTTGCACTTCGCAGAAACAAAATGTTCCAGATGTGTCCTTCCCAAAGTTAGTGAAGAGGTGGAATGATGCCGTATTAAAACTTGTGCAATAGCCTATTTAAAGTTCCAATGCTTTTATGTCGATCTCTTATCAAAAGCAGGAAACATAACTAGAGATAAGATACAGGTCAGATACAAAGGATCAATCGACATACATGTCGGGGAGTCCACAGCTACATGAAATAACACCACTATACTAATGAGAAATATCATCATCGGGAATACCTGCAGCCTTGTGTGCAATTACAAGATTATGAAACATTAAATTAATAGTACCACATATATCACTTTTTTACTTTTATACAATAAGAGGCACAGCAAATTTATCTTTTGTAAAATTCTATGGTATCAAACTGAAATTGCTGTATCCATCTGCCTACCCAGCATGCTAACTGTATTAAGAAGTGACTTATGTGAACACTGCAGACCAGTCACCACCACAGTGAAATTAGAAATTTTAGTGATCAAAAAGCTTATCAAATATTGTGGTCCATGAGCCATCAGATGTATGTACTGTACAGTTCTCTGGGGTATGTCTGTTAATATTGTCTCCAACAACTAGGAGGTCTGGTCGACGACCGGGCCACGGGAACGCCAAGCCCCGAAAAAACCTCAAAGTAAGGTAACACCACAATTGTCGCAAGCGCTACATAAACTAACTTGCCCAGTTGAAATGTTTCTCTAGTCCTGTATTCTTCAAACAACAGTAAACAATAATGCTGACTTAAACACACGTTACATACATTAGCCTAATCTACAAACTTCAATCAATTCTTATCTTCCTCACTTGCTATTTATAATAAATGACATTACAGTTCTTTTCATAAACAACTTGTAGTCCACAGATTACACGTAGGCTACATTTCACATTTGGCTAAACTGCCTTGTATACATGAATACATCTCTTGTATATGTATATACATATATATTTTTATATTGTCACGCAAATCCCCTGCATAGCAGTGGAACTGCCTTTTCCCTTCACCTTCAATGCCTCTGCACTGGAAGTATACATCTACACCAGCCCAGATGAGTCATCAGTCCTGCCACCTCTCCATACCCTCCAGGGCCTGGCATGGCCTGGTACAACTCAAGAGGCAAGCTGGGCGCCTCTGCTAACCGGTAGTTTGACCCCACAAACAAGCAGTTAGCCGCCTTCAACTAACAGTGGTACAGCTCAACACAAAGGCACCACCAGCCATAACGAGCAGTTTGCTAGTTGACCAGATGTCCACCTCACGTTGACACTGGATAAGTCATCACCGCTGGACTATATAAAGGGCGCTGCCTTCCTGGAGAGCCAGTCTCTCCCTTAGTGCTCTAGGATCACCTTCGTGTCTTACCCGTCGTCCGCCTTCAGCCAACATCGTGTGATTGATGCCATGGTGGTATGGTAGCTGTCTTCAGTACACCAGTATATCTTTATGCTTTTCTTCATTGCTTATACTGTAGTTTATTTTTACACTTAAGATCATACTAACTTGTTCACTTTTGCATTACATGATAGCCAAGTATTTTCAGGGGCATTTATGTTCATTAATATTTCAGTAAATTGTGTAATTATTTATTTGATGATTTTTATTTGTTTCCACCTACAACTTACACACTGCAGGGCCAATAGCAGCATTTTTTTTTCATTATGTGCAGGAGAGCCATACCATCTTGGTTCA